CAGCAAATTACTAAAGATTAACCAAAGAAGTCCCGTCATGCAGTGATCTTTACAGTACATATACTATCCACAGAAATGTTTACCTTTAGTTGGCATTGTGTAGTATACTGATGTAGTATGAAAACAGGGCTATTCGATTAGGGTCTTGCAGGACTGAAACACCTCTGGTCGCGATCCAATCAGGGACCATGAGCGAACTTTGTAGCTAATGAATGACATCCATTTACCAATTAACTGCCAAGCAGAGAAGAAGACAGTAATACCTCAGTCCTAAAGGGCTGGTAATTAAATAGCCCATCTGCTCCAAAATAATGCACCTTTCTCACTCCAAGGATGCAATATAGATACATTATGTTATGTGTGTACCATAAGGTAGTGTATGCCCTACGTAGGCCCAGCCTCTCTCATCAGCCTCTCTCATCACGCCTACTCCCCGTATGTGTGTTATTGTGCACTCGCTATGCTCTTGAAACTATAGTAAACCCTTAATCATGACATTGTGTACACGCTCCACCCTAATGCAGCTTGGTTGCCTCTCATTCATAGAGCTAGCTGCCTGGCTGAATCCCAGTCTTAATTAGTCTGCATTAATAGATCATAGACTCTGACTCATCCAGCCCAGGCTTTCAGTCAATGACATCACTCAGCAAGATCATGTGTCAGAGGGAGAGAAAGTCTCCTCAGCTCCAAGCACAGATCCTGGCCAGGGACAATGTTAGCAATAGCAAATGACTATGGCCATGCTTAACATAATCTGCATTGTCAAAACTTTATCAGCACCAGCTGTCATAGTAGTTATGCACAGGTACTGTATAAAACATATTCAAAAACATACTCCAAGGTATAGTCATAAATTGAATTGAGGTCCATACAATATCCAATGGAAGGAATCCCTCGATACAAAATAGTAATTATTACTATGTCATCATTATGTAATTACCATTTCAACATGTCATTTATATCTCAAGTGGCCAGAGGGTGGTATTATTTGGCCCCCCATGTTTTCTAAACAAAGAAACCCACCAGAAAATCAGCTCAAACTGATTTTAAGTATCCCCACGCAAAACAAAGAGACATGATTGTATACAAATATAAGCAAGGTTTGAAATGATTATGTTTTAGTCAAATATTATATCTGTTTGGGATTCCTGCGGTCAATTTGCAGTCTACAATGTATCTGTAATTATGTTCCGGCCCCCTGACCATCCGCTCAATAAAAAATTGTCCCGCGGCTGAATTTAGTTGGCGATCACTGATGATATAATATAATATGCCATTTAGCAGACGCTTTTATCCAAAGCGACTTACAGTCATGTGTGCATACATTTTTACGTATGGGTGGTCCCGGGGATCGAACCCACTACCCTGGCGTTACAAGCGCCATGCTCTACCAATTGAGCTACAGAGGACCAAAGACATACTGTCACAAATAATATCTCAGGTCCTCCCAGTGACACTTCACTGATGGAGAGAATGATCTGTTCTTGATTGTAATTCCAGGGTGTCATGTGCTTAGTTCTGTGACAGGCTGTCTGTCAGCTGATGGGCTGTGTTAAACTGTGGTACTGTACTGTAAGATATGGGTGGGATCTTTAGTAAAGAAAGTGGTATACACTATGAATGTACGGTTTGGGCCAGAGGCCATTGGAATATGAATGTGTGTGTGTGTGTGTGTGTGCGCTCAACGTGCACACGCATATGTGTGTGTGGAGGACATTGAGTTTTCATGGTGAGATGTTTATCTCTGGCAGAACCAATCCTCCTGCTGGGAGCACAGGGACATACTCAAATCATATATTTTTCATAGAGCACCAATATATTTCAATATTTGGTCCCTGAATGGATGCACACAATTTCGTGCTCTTCATAATTCTGAATAATACATGCAGACAACCACGACTGTCTGCAATTGATGACAGATTTGTTTTAATATCCTGTGCTCTGGAACCAGCACCCAAAACATTGATCATCGATTGTTTTCCTATTTGCATTACCAATGGTTAACATGTCAAACCCTCCATTCACATTAACTAGAATTAAACAGTGGAGGCAGTAGAGCTCAATTCCCTATGTGTTCCGGTGCTAATCTGAGGGGTCTGTCATGCTCTTCCATCGGCCAGTAGCCAAGCTCTTCAGAAACAGGAAGAGCTAACTGAACGCTAACTGTTTGCAGTACAGCTATTGGGTGGAAGGAAGCAGTGTGTCGAAGCCTGGTCCCAGATCTGTTTGTGCTGTCTTGCAAATGTTTGACAAGACAGCACAGACAGATCTGGGACCAGGCTAGTGTGTCCATGGTTCAGTAAGAACATGTTTGAGTGGAGGCTGTCAGAAAGCGGAGATAGCAATCAAGTTGTGAAAGTAATATGGCTGACTTCAGTGACCGTCGACCAACTGAGGGAGGGAGTAAAGGAAGGAAGGAAGGTTAGAGGCATAGGGAGGAAGGTGGAAAGGAGGGAAGGAAGGAAAGAAGTGATTAAGTTAAGGAGGGAAGGAGATAGGAAATCATTTTAATAGAACTTGCCAGAACACAATCTTGCCACTCCCAGAGCTGAGCAGAAATAATCAGAAGTCAGTGTGATGAAATCATAAAAATAAAAAAAGGCCTCGGTCACATAATGAGAAATGTTTGGCCACAGCCTTGAGCCAATCCATTTGGAATTTGTGCAGACTCCAGGTCGGCTGAAATACGACGGCACCCGGACAATGACTATCCCTCACCATGTCTTAAGTTCCGCTTGAACTCTAATGAGCACTAGCTCCGATGATGAATCTTCGGCTGCCTCACAAACTGTGCTGGGATGACGACACTTTATGGACGGGATAGGTAGAGGAGTGAGGGAGAGTAGGAGACATGAGGGAGAGAAATGGCCTCCTCCTACAGTGACAAAGTTTACATAAAATATTCAGCAGTGTGAGTAGGAGAAATTAAAAGGATGTTCGTCACCAGTATTAATGGTGTAATTAACGTTCCCGTAACATTTCTAATAACAGGTGATGATGGGACCTGTGTTGGAGGTGACGGGTCATTAAGAATCCCACTGCTGTGAGTTATACTGCCATGTCAGGGGATAGAAAATAACTGGAAGGTACAGGGTTCCTTGTGTATAGATGGATTGAACTGGTTTCATTGCAAATGTCATTTGTTATAGTCATATAATTTGTAAGTGAATATGTAATCTATTAACATGATCACTTTAGAATAGAATACAATAAAACTGTAAATTCTATATTGTCCAATCGATGTGAAAATATGCCTTTGGCTTCACACATGTTCCATTATAAAACATTCAGCCCCCGATAGATTTTCCCTGTATCCTCTAACAGATCTTTGCTGTCATGGCTGCATCATGGAATCCCTGCATCCCTGCCTTACTCCACCTACAAGATTTACATCTGAAACCAAGTCAAACATACCAAACCCTGTAAAACGCATCATCCTCACCATTTTTTCTATTTACTGAAGGTCTTCTGCTGACATTCACGATTTTGGGGAATTGTGGACTAATGAACAAAATATTAAAATAGTGTTTTTGAGTGAACTGTCCCTTTAAACTGAGTGCAGGGCCCTTGACCAGAAAATGCAGTGCTAGTGACTGTATTACCTTGAGAACAGCTGTGGCGGTCGGAGAGCTTTAACAGCTGTGTGGCTGTGGCTCTCTAACCTTGAGATTATCACATCCACAGACTAAATCAATATGGATCCCTCTATCAGTGCAGCCATAAGACATTTGATTAACTCTATGGATTCAGTACTGTCAGCTGTTTAGCTACTGTAGGCCGACTTACCAAAACAGAGGGGAGTGCAACACGCATAGTGTTGCATGAGGCATAGTGTAAGGGACCTTATGGAGCATTTTTAAATAATGAATTGATGCATGCACGGTTATGGTTGATCATCTTATCTGATGTTGACCGTTTTCTCCTTTATTTATGAGTTAATTGGTGGACTGTATTGTGTCCAATTCTGGATGCACAGCTACGGTTGCAGACAGAGATCATGTGAAGAGCCTGTGCGTGCATGTGTGTGTGACTTCACATGCCTTCTCTCGTTCTCTCTCTCTCTCTAAGTCTCTCTCTCTCATGATCTGCCCATTCCATTCACGGAAGGCAGTGGAAAAGCTGTTTTCTACGTTCTGATACTGCCTAGCCAGCAGATCTAGCTACTATGGATGTTCTGAAGAGGGGCATTCACAGTGTTTTCCCTAGGCAGTTCATTTAGCTCCTTTAATGACCATCCTTGGTGAATTTATTCAAGCAATATATCTCCATGGCCACAAGGTGGCGCTATGACAAGCTCCCTACAGGAAGGAACAGCTCACAACCAATCATGGCTTCTAACACAGAATGGTCCTGACACGCATGGGTGACAAACTTGCTGTCATCTCCAAGATTTGGGACCTCACCCTGTGACAGTGGTGTCCCCTTCAGGTCCCTACGAGATAGGCTTGACTGTTGTGGGCTTTGGCAGATGCTACTGCTGTTGGGGCTATAGAAATACATTGTTTGTGTGTGTGTATGTGTGTGTGTTTAGCTGAATGAGACTTTCTTTGGCTCGGGATTATCGGTAGCCAATGACAGGATCATACGTACATGTCATATGGCTCATAGAGTCCTATATCTCCCTACATCTCCTCCACAGGAGGTTGGTGGCACCTTAATTGGGGAGAACAGGCTCATTGTAATGACTGGAGCGGAATCAGTGGAATGGTATCAAATGCATTTCCAGGTGTTTGATGCCATTCCATTTGCTTCGTTCCAGCCATTATTATGAGCCGTTCTCCCCTCAGTAGCCTCCATTGAGCTCCACCTATAACACTCAACATATGCCAGCAGTATCTATACTGTATTTACCTTTATGGAAAACTAATGATGATATCAAATATTTAGCATTTTTTAAAGATCTATGTATAACCTTCACAGCACATTTTCTCACCTTTCACTTCCTCTCTCTGCCAATCCAACCACTGACCCATAATCCCTCACCTTTGACCCCTCCAGGCCGGGAGAGAAGAAAGGGTCACAAGATCTCCGCTGGGGATGCCGAGTTCCCGCGGGAGTACCACACTCTGGGCCACGGCGGCACGCGTCATTTCCCTGACAAAAACAACGGGGGGCAGGCGCCCACCTCGGGGGACCGCCAACGCCACAACGACATCGCTGCCAAGAGCCTGGAGGCCCTTACAAACCTTCACAAGGCTGACATAGAGCACCAGCACGAAGCCTTCATGGACCTCCAGAAGAACCAGAAGTACCCGGCCAACCCCTGTATGTCCCAGGGCCAGGGCCAGGGCTCACCTAACTGTGGCCGCCAACAGCAGGTAACATCTCAATACTCTCAACACCATGGCCTTGTCCAGAATCAACCCCCAGCATCTACCCTGATCTCTTTTCACTTGGTATAGATCTGAAAGAATTGGTGTAAAGAATATGGTGACAAACTATATTGCTTATCCATTTTTTAAAGATCTACCTTGGCCATAGCCATTGTGCATCCCAGGTACAAAAACAGTTGAGAACCACAAGAGTATCCAGGTTACATGTCAATTCATCAGTTCATCATGACATCGTTGGCTCGTAGAGTTATCAGAAGGTGTCAGAGGGAGAGGAAGATGGAAACAGAGATTTGAGATAGGAAGGAAATAGAGAGACACTGTAGATACCCTCATCCCACTCCATCCCTCTATCCTTCCATCCTTCATCCCTCTACCCTGATCCCTCCATCCCTCTACCCCAATCACCTCCCTGAGAACACCGCCATTCACGATAGACTCCCGTCTCTCCACACTCTCTCCTCCATAAGCCAAGTATCCCTCCATCCACTTCTCTCTTTCCTCCCCTGCTTTTCATTTGCTCTGTGTATTTACCCTGGCGCAGCGAGAGAGAGAAAAAGATGGAGAAAAAGAGTGAGAGACGGAAGGACAAATAAAGAGAGAAACAGGTGGAGTCCACGGTTGTCATGGCAACCACCCCCACACACCCCTCCCCCCCCTCCCCTCCCCTCCCCATTCCCATATAAGGAAGTCAATGATATCATATGGCTGGCAATGCCTTGGCAAGAAGAGAGAGTGGAAGAGAGTACGGATGGCAGCAGCAGAGAGAGAGAGAAACAGAGAGAGATGAGTTGTGAGCGAAAGACTGAAGCTGTGATTGAGCTGTAGCGGTATAGAGACACAGAGAGAGAGGAGACTCTACTCTGCCTGGCTCTACTTTGTATATATCCAGACCAACACTGCCTGGGATTTACTGATTCCTCGGGGCTCGTGGGAGAACAGAGCCGCTGCAGTCAGAAAATGGAGAGGGGGGAGGAGGAAGGAGAGGGAGGCATGTGGAGCAGCATGCGAACCAACGCACCACCACCAGTCGCCAGCAGCAGCAGGCTCGTTAAGTAGCAACAACGGTACCAGTTCTCCCTTTCATTATTGAATGGAGACGCGCAGAATCCTGTGTGTTCTGGTGTTACTGTGGGATAGATGAGTTTCTGCTGCTGCATGTGATGCAGAGAGAGGGAGAAAATGATAGAAAGAAAGGGGTGAGGGAGAAAGAGAGTGTGTGCAAGAGAGCTGTATCTATACCTGACTATTTGTGTGTGTGCGTGTGCGTGTGTGCATGTGACTATGACCAGCAAGTGTCTGTGTGTGTGTGAGTCTGTGAGTGTGTAGGGGAGACCAGTGCAGGTAAGACATGATGTAATGGGTATGCCTCTCCTCTACTCCCTGCTTTCTGCAGGCATAAGAGGACGGGTGTGTGAGTGTGCGTATGATATGTGTGTGGTGTGTTTGGGCTGGCTCATGCCGGGGTTGTACCGGCGTGCAGGTGTTGGCCAGGTGTGGATGTGGTGCCGCAGTGTCCGAAAGACTAGGAGGGGGCTAGTGAGTGTGTGTGTGTGTGTGTGTGGATAAGAGGGAGGGAGAGAGAGAGACAGAGATATATATAGAGAGAGGAGAGAGAGAGAGAGAGAGAGAGAGAGAGAGAGAGAGAGAGAGAGAGAGAGAGACAGAGATATATATATATATAGAGAGAGAGAGAGAGAGAGAGAGAGAGAGAGAGAGAGAGAGAGAGAGAGAGAGGGAGGGTGTGTGGGTGGGTAGGTACAGATATTAGCTACTTGGCATGCAGGTCAGGCATGCGTTGCTCCACTCGTCTCTCTCTCTCTCTCGCTCTCTCTCTCGCTCTCTCTCTCACTTACACACCCTTTCCCTTTCTCAGTACATGTCCATCGTGGGATTCAGCTTGTGTGATTGAGAAATATGGCAGAGCATATAAGTCACGGTGCATAGCGGCTCGGTTTATTTTGTGTGGGGCAGATTTTATGTTCTGAAACGCCGTCTTGTTAGTGCAGATTGGAGGAGAGGTGGGCAGGGGAGGCTGAGGTAAGAGGAGTGAAGACAGAAAGGTGGATGAATACATGAATAGAGAGAGTGGGAAGTGGGAAAATGTTTTCAATAGGATGCATATGCATAAGTCTACTGGTATGTTAGCAGGTGGAGTTGAGTACAGTATGGATGTCTAGAGGTAGGTGGTAGTGAGTACATGTTGAGTTGACGTAGACATGTATGCTGAATTCCAAATCCGACCCTGGCACCTAAACAAGCCTCAACCTTACCTAGGGGGTAGGGATTGATTTTGAATTCAGCATATTATGGTTAGCGGTAGTGTACAAGAGAGATCTGCTTCAAGATGCTAGCAGGGATCCAGTCTTCCAAGTAGATCTACACAGTAGATCACATACATGGCATTCAAAACAAACAATATGAGCAACTATTCTCAACATCATACTTCAATTTCAAGTTCAAGTTAAAAATATAAAAAATACCCACATGGCAGTTGTAGACATACTGGGCTCCCGAGTGGCGCAGCGGTCTAAGGCACTGCATCTCAGTGCTTGAGGTGTCACTACAGACCCCCTTGTTCGATTCCAGGCTGTATCACAACCGGCCGTGATTGGGAGTCCCATTGGGAGGTGCACAATTGGCCCAGCGTCGTCCGGATTTGGCCGGTGTAGGCCGTCATTGTAAATAAGAATTTGTTCTTAACTGACTTGCCTAGTTAAGTAAAGGTTAAATAAAAATAAAAATACACTGATATACAGTATAGGTATAGGTGAACACAAATAAATAATAAATAACACACTATTTAAACAGAAAAACACAAGAATGATGAGTACATAGAATCCTAAAATAGGGGTCCTAGTGACATTTATCAATAAGAGCCTTGTGACTGTGTCTTGAGGCATGGCCAGTAAAATGGCGTCTGATTGGTGGTAGTATGGCCATGCAGGCTGACACATGTTCAGGTAGACACATGATCGCTAGCTCTGACTCGGACAGAAGCCTGCAGGACACACAATGCTCTGTGTATCTGGGTCACAGGAGCCCACAGGCCTCTGTTCTGTTGGTTTTTATCCCCAATTCTTCTCTTCCTGTCCTCCTGCCTCTGCTCTGCTCTGTCTATCCTCATCCAGGTTTTCTCCTCCACATCCTTTCTCAACAGAGGGTAGGAACTCATTGAAGATTTCCTCTCAAACCAGGGTAGGACAATTTTGACTTGGCAGCTGGCCCATCTAGCGGAATCAGTTCTGCCTCAAGGACATGACTCAACCTGCTCAAGAGCTATTAGAAGAAGACAAAAAGGAATATTATCAATTGAACGACATCTAGTGCAGGATAAATCAATGTTAAGAGTTTACAAAGCTGGCCATAAATAGATGTTACATTTCACTTTATAGGTTGGTTATGTAGGCTTCTACTACATATAATAATATGATTAGGCTATATCTTTATATAAAACAAAAAACAGAGTCTGTCAGATTTCCAGTCATTCCAATTAATTTTATACCCCATTGATCTTCAAGAAAAGGACTTGGAAATATGGAAACATAGATTAGCCAAACTGTTTTACCTGAGCATAAGCCAAAAACTAAGGACTTATTAGCCAACTCTGTTGTTTATGATTTTGTTGTCATGGAAGACTGATTGGGCTCATTGCTTCGAGTTGAAAAATAAATGCTGCTTTTGGGAATGACATGCTTTGAGCACCTCCAAAAAGTGCTATTTGCATGTGAAAAATGAATGGCGTATGCTGCATTTGCTATACTGTAGGCCTGTTGTTTAAGTTTTTGTTGGTGACACTTTGATATCTTGATAATTTGCAGCTGATTAAGTCTCTGAAAAGTGTGTGAGTTTGAGCATGTGTCCGTTAGGCCTGTGGCATTTCTTGGGGGGAATCAGCACAAATTAGATTGAGCAATAAAAGCCCAACTCATGGTCTTCTTAAAATAAACTACTTTTGACAGTATGGAGCACAACACCACGGGGGAGTTTAGAAGGTAGGAACTCCCTTAAACATTTATTCCATAGGCTGGGATCCGCACTGCAGCTATTACAAGAGCACATTTTTCACTAGCTAGGGGTCCACTAGTCACAAAAACAATGATTTATAGGCAGCTTAAACTTCTTCAATTCAACCATTATTGGGTTAAAATACACATGTACATTTGTGAACAGCCATCCACAACAACCACAATCCGAAAGGCGCAGATAGCTAAATGACAAAGCAGCAGTGTGATTCACATCAATGTGCTATGTATATCCAACCCAGTATCACAGATTACAGTGAAATAGACACAAATTGCTCATTGGAAATTTGTGACAGGAACACAAAAAGTATATATTTTTGTGTGCAGTACACGATTTTGTATACAGTGAATTTGAATCACAGATAAAGACAGTAGCTTACTTAAATTGAATTGAAGAAGTTTCAGCTGCCTATTAATAATTGTTTTTGCGACTAGAGGACAGCTAGCTAGTGAAAAATGCATTCTTGCAACAGCTGCAGTGCGGATCCCAGCCTTTGGAATAAATGTTTAAGGGAATCCCTCTTTTCTAAACTCCCCCATGGTGTTGCGCTCCATACTGTCAAAAATAGTTTAGGAGGGAGGTTGGTCAGGGAGTATGGGTGGACATATAACATGACTGTCTAGCAACCCGAAGGTTGTGTGTTCGAATCTCATCATGGACAACTTTAGCATTTTCACTAATTAGTTACTTTGCAACTACTTAGCATGTTAGCTAATCCTAACCCTAACCTTAACCATTTAACCTAATTCCTAAACCTTTTAGGTACTTAGCTAGCGTGTTAACTAGCCCTAAACTTAACCCCTAACCCCTAAACCTAACACTAACCTTAACCCCTAACACTAACGTTAAACCCTAGCCTAGCTAACGTTAGACACCTAGCTAGCCTAGCTATCATTAATTGGAATTTGTGCAATGTACACAAATGCGTTATGAAGAAATACACAAACAGGTGCGCCTGGCACCTACTACCATACCCCGTTCAAAGGCACTTAAATCTTTTGTCTGGCCCACTCACCCTCTGAATGGCACACATACACAATCCATGTCTTAATTGTCTCAAGGCTTAAAGATCCTTCTTTAACCTGTTTCCTCCTAAATCTACACTGATTGAAGTGGATTTAACAAGTGACATCAATAAGGGATCATAGCTTTCACCTGGATTCACCAGGTCAGTCTATGTCATAGAAATATTTTTTGTTCACTCAGTGTAGCTTGGAATGTAGCTTACAAAAGCCTATTCCTGCTCTTTTTCCGCGATCCATCAAACGCATTGGTTATCATAGTGGTCTCTGACTTATGGTCAGACTCGCTCAGGCGGAGCAAACTTAAACTTGCAATGATGATTTCAATGTCGTTGAGAAAACAGAAAGGTGTCCAAAAAATTTTCCAAACATCCTTTCTGAATTTAAAACTAATCCTACAAGTAATCATCTAGTTTTTCAAAAGTATCTGTAAACTGATTACAATGTTTTTGTTGCTAACGTAATGGATTACAGTTATCCATGTAATCCGTTACTCCCCAACCCTGAGTATAATATATCTGAATGTAGCAGGGTCATTCTTGAATTGCGGTGGCATTTGCATCCCTTGCCATGAAAAACACTTGACAAATAGTTACACATACATGGCATTGTTGAATACTCATTTCTTATTGGCTTCAAGAGCATTCTAGAGCATGCATTATTTCCCTTTATAAATTGGGTGGTTCGAGCCCTCAATGCTGATTGGCTGAAAGCCGTGGTATATCAGACCGTATGGCTTTCTCCCAAGTGGCGCAGTGGTCTAAGGCACTGCATCGTAGTGCTAGCTGTGCCACTAGAGATCCTGGTTCGAATCCAGGCTCTGTCGTAGCCGGCCGTGACCGGGAGACCCATGGGGCGGCGCACAATTGGCCCAGCGTCGTCTAGGGTAGGGGAGGGAATGGCTGGCTGGGATGTAGCTCAGTTGGTAGAGCATGGCATTTGCAACGCCAGGGTTGTGGGTTCGATTCCCACGGGGGTATGAAAAATAGAAAAATTATGTATGCACTCACTAACTGTAAGTCGCTCTGGATAAGAGCGTCTGCTGTATGACTAAAAATGTATACCAAAAATACTTTGTACTGTTGTAATTACGTTGGTAACAAGTTTTTAATAGCAACAAGGCACCTCGAGGGTTTGTGGTATATGACCAATATACCATGGCTAAGGGCTGTATCCAGGCACTCAGCATTGCGTCATGTGTCAGAATAGCCCTTAGGGGAGGGAATGGCCGGCAGGGATGTAGCTCAGTTGATAGAGCATGGCGTTTGCAACGCCAGGGTTGTGGGTTCGATTCCCACAGGGGGTATGAAAAAAAGAATAATGTATGCACTCACTAACTGTAAGTCACTCTGGATAAGAGCGTCTGCTAAATGACAAAAAAAATTAAAATAAAAAAAATAAGACTGGTTAGCTAAACTAGTAGCTAAGTCTGTTTGTTTGGTTACCAAGGCAACTACTGTAGCTATCTAGTAAACTTGCTAGCTACTTCACTGGATGTTGAGCACATTTCTACCTCCAAATAAACACATTTCTAGCGGCAAATGCGTTAAATTATAGCCATGGTATAAAAGGGATATTCAACTCGGGGCTCTATGCATTCTCTGGAAAATAATGCAACTCTGTGGAAGGTTAGCTAGTTCCACTCCTCTAGCGTGTCGTGGATCACACCTTCCACGTCATTCATTATTTCCCTTGGAACGCATAGCCCCTCATTGATTATCCTTTTCATATTGAACTGTTTATTAATCACAAATCATAATGGAAGTCCTTTACACTGTAAAACGTTATGTTTATGCACTGTTTAGGGCAAGGAAATTGGCTTATCCCAGTAGTGATGAGTACAGTTGTAGTGACATGATTTTGGCATTTAGGGATGTTAATCTATTATTTTGAAAGCTATCAAGAAAACAAAGTATCTCATACTGTATATTGTATAGATCAACAACAACAAAAAATATGAAAATACATTTCTATTCGAAAAAATTTAATATTTGTCCCTATGTTTAATGTCATTTGTGCTATTACCTTGAAAATCACTTATTACAAAGACATGCAAGGACCTCGACTGTTCCTTCCAGTGGCAAACTGCTATCGGGGGAGAGGTCTATACAGGCCGTAGCTACATATGAGGACACCGAGGTCTGGCGTTTCTTTTAGGAACTCAGTCGGGGTCTCAACTTACTGTACAATACTCAAGATGCTATTTTCGAAACTTGGTTTTGCATTACCAGTTTTCCTCTTATTATACTGTATGTCACTTTCTGACAGTCACGCAATTAGGCCATGTCAGTTAAATTGGTAAATTAGTCTAGTTAGTCTAGTTAGTTAGTCTAGTTAGTCTAGCCAGCTATCTAAACTTGTAGTAACCATGGCCGAATTACGACCGGGCACGCAGGGCACTTGCCCAGGGGCCCTGACCTCTAGGGGGCCCCTACTGATTTTGTTAGTCACTCTCACTCAGATATCATATTAACATGGCATAAGTAATGTGTATAATTGCAAGAAATTAGCTTTTAAAACTGCAAAAATGTATCCCCACTTCCATGGCAAAATGTGTAGAGTTGCAGGAAATTAGCTGTAAAACGGCACAAAAAAATGTGTAATGTAACGCAAACGTATTTGTTTATTTTTAGGCTATGTGTTTGTAGATTGACTGAGGTGAATGAAGCTACAGCAACCAATGTGATAATGGCAGGGATCATTTTTGCTTGTTTTTTCTGTTCTCCAAATTGCATTTTAGCGTTTGTATAGAAATGCAGTAAATGAGCTTCAACTTTCTTAAGATTTCCCTTCGGACCTCACTAAAATTCAGACCCTGGCTAAGAAAAGTATTAGCGAATTAAGGGTCGGCTCTAGCCTTTTGGGGGCCATGATTACTACAAGTTTAGATAGCTGGCTAGACTAACTTACCAATCTAAAAATAGTTAGCTGACATGGTTAATTGAGTGACTGTCAGTGACTGACATAACAAGAGAACAATTGCTGATGCAAAACAACATTTTGAACTTGCACTTTGTGTATTTTACTATTCTAACTCTCAACAGTAAGTTGAGACCACGACTAAGTGTTGGAGGGCTTTTGTTCGGGGGCCCCTTGTGGCCTCCACTTAAGAAAATCCTCAATAACCAAAAATGTGTCATTGGTGTTAGCGTAATTGGTATTACTAATCCTGCTGGTGGCACAATGTTATCATAATGGTAAAAAATATTTAAAGTAATTATGCTGACATATTAGTTGATTTAGAAAAATTAAGTAAACTTTTTCCTAAAATGCCATGCCCAAATGCCATGCCCAAATGCCATGCCCAAATGCCATTGCAATTCAAGAACGACCCAGCTGTTTAGATTAGTGATAAGCTAGTCATCTATCATCCCCAATTTAGATGGAACCAAAAGAGTACAGTATACTTGACACCCCTGGCACAAGGCCTACATAATGTGACAGTGTCATGGTTACAGCCAACCATTGACACTGTGACTCAAGGACACAGTTACAATAGCCAAATACATTCTAATAGATTCAGTGAACTTTGCCCTCTGTGTTGGAGGCCGCCCAAATTCCCTTAAAAAGCCAAGCTTCTTAAATCCAGTGTCTGTGTATTACTTTAATCCGCTCCTGAATTTGAGCCAGCTAATTGTGTGAATGGTAGGCATTCAGTTGAATTGCTAGCTAGCTGGTGTGGGTGTATTATTAGTATGGGTTTAGTGTCTGTAAACATTTGATTAATTAGTGGGATGCAATTACAAGCAATTAAAAGGCTATTATGATGGCACTGAAGGACATCGGAAGTTAATCTGGGCTATCATCACAATAATTAGCCCCCCACTTTCGGATTGGATCTGATGGAGAGAGAAATATGATTATATTTTATACCTCTCCTTTTTTAGTCTTCAGAAATTCTTCAACTTCTCTCTCTCTCGCTCCCTCTCTCTACTCCGATAAAGTAAACCTTCAAACCTTCCCAACTTTATTCGTCACAGCTGCGTTATCTCTGAAACGTCTAACTGGCAGCAGATAGATGGATCTTTCTCACTCACTCTCATTCACTTTTCTCTCTCTCACACATTTTTCTCCATCCATCTCTCTCCCTGACAAGCGGTTGTCCGGCTTAATGGATGGGAATATATCTAACTCTCTTTCTTTCTTTCTCTCTCTCTCTCTCTCTCTCTCTCTCTCTCTCTCTCTCTCTCTCTCTCTCTCTCTCTCTCTCTTCCCCTAGCAACAGCCAAACTACTGGAGCTTCAAGGTCAGTTTGTGTTTTAGTGTGAATCTATGTCCATGTCTCTGTGGATTTGTCTAGAATGGGATAATCTGTGTGTGCATCTTTTTGCTTCTCTTCCCGTCATTGTGAGTGTTATAGTGTTGGCACACACTACTGAGACTTATAACTGATGTTGGGGTGTATTTGCTGCTGTATTTTGAGTCCCTCATAAAGGGCCAAATTCTAACTTGAGATTAATGTGCTGAAATTGCTCATCACGTAAATCATGCATTGATGTCAATGGGAGATTTGTGTGAAAAGTGACTTGTGCCTGGATGTCAAGTTAGGATTTGGGCCAAAGAGAATTACAAAAGCAGACATCCTTGAATAACCCTTATGAATATGTAATATTTTATATAAAAATATATGTAATATGTAAATAATTTGCCTGATTTGCAAAAGTTGAGGGTTACATTACATTGCTTGTGAAACACCACGGCTGTAGACCAGTTCTGTCTGCAAGGTTTAGGTACTCTTAGTGGACACAAATCGCATTCTGGCTCAATATGGCTGCCGTTCATTACCCAGGTGGGCACTTCATATTGGCTCCCTCATATTCTGGAATGTCACTATGTAAAGCTGATACCGATCATGTAGAATGGAAGGGCTACTGATTATTTTGCCTCATCAGATAAGGCCCTGTCATATGGAGGGGGCAAGTGATGCTACAGTACATATGGGACTGACCGCCTCGATTCAGACTTATGCAGCAAAATTTGAAATTGTGTTTTTTACATTGGATAAAAGTATAGACTAAGAGCTACAAAATTGTATATCATACACTGCAGTTGATGAACAATGGGAAAGTAATTCTGCTTTGAAAGTTGATAAACTGGTAACCCCACTTTTGAGAAAATGTCCCTTGAATGTTTTGGTAAACCTACTGGAGATCTCTTCTTTGTCTACACCTATTCAGCATCGTTCACACCCTCTTAAGCCATAGCCCCACCCATCTCTTTACGGATTCACATGTGAGGCCATGTGCTAAACTAAGTGAGCAAAGGTAGTTTAGTAAACAACCAACAACTTCAAGACTAAAAGTGGTGGAAGTAGTAGCCATACAATAAGGAAAAACTCCAGGTAAAAATACACTTTATCTAGTTCATGGCCTATATCCTATTCAAACTTTGTTGTAGGTCATGTTGTTCTTCACATTACCGTCTCTGGTAAACACACACTATTTCAAATGAAATCTAAGTTGCACAGGATCACATGCACAGGATGCAGAATGTGTAAACGGTAGAGTGAAATGGTTACTTGCATATTTGCATGGTAGCAATATCAAAAATAAAAAGTGTCCAGATAAAATACTGTAATAATTATTAGATGCCCCAGACACACTTGTCTAAATTGATGGATCATGTGAAAGAAATTGTATAACCACCCCCAGCCATATCTAGCTAGCTAGCTAAACAATTAACCATAATTCCAACTCATAGCTACAGTACAAACGGATTGTCATAGCTAGCCACCATGCATGAAATGCTGTAGTAAGAATCTGCAGGTAGCTAAAGCTAACCAACTAGGTTCAATGTTAACTAGCTAGCTAACATTAGGTTTTAACTAGCAATGCAAATGGATTTCTGAGATACTAATAATATTACTACACAGATCATACACATAACATTAGCTAGCGAGCCAGCAAGCTAACGTTCGCTAGCTGGCTAACAGTACACTTTAACTTGTAATGAAAACAACTTTCGGACAAAATTAGAAACGTATAATATCTGAAAATGTAGCTAGACTCTTAAGGCGTCAGCATGCTTCAGTTTGGCTGGCGCCTAGCCGAACTCGGCTAGCCGAACCGAACGTGTGTGCTTGCATACTCCCTTAAAAAACATTCGCTTGAAAAATGAGAAAAAAACGGTAATAGTACTGTTTGTCCATTTTGAGACGCTGTAGCCAGTATTCCTCAAAATAGTTAGAATTAATCTAAGATAACTCAAGAAATCTGTCATTAATCTGGACGTTTTTGCCGAAGAGATCTTCATTGCGCAATTTTACATCTACCTAAGATGTTGGTGCAGTATTTTTCAATGAAAGAATGTGCATGAAAACAAGTTGTCTCTCATTGAATGACAACAAAGACTTTATTGAACAATCCCTACTGTTGACCAATCACCTACGAAAGGGCGTAGACTTCGGCTCCAAACTTCGGCTTGCCTCCAGAAAAAATGTTGTGTGCCCGAACAGCCCCCCCAAAAAACACGAAGTCCAAAACAAACAAAAACGTCACAAAATGTTTTCATAATATATGCACAAACTTTACAGAAACTTTTTATTCTGGGAAGCATGCGGACACCTTTACCCGTGTACATGGATGAACGATTCACGGCAGCATGTCTATTCCGTTTGGTTTGTAGCTAGCTACAGCTTGTTTGGTCCGTTCTGTCAAGTCACTCCGGTTCACACTGACCGTGTGCAGAAGGTTGTCCATAACAATGTTTTCCCACTGATCTTTGTCGATAGCGGCAGTTAAATTCAGGGCAGCAATGTTGAGAGCAGTAGGAACACTTTTGCAGTTCTCCATGGCTAACGTTATATCTTTCAAAAAAGCCGCGGTAGAAAGGATTATCTACACATACCGAGCAGCTCATGTTATAGACAGAAGCGTGCTACATGGCAGACCAATCCGAACTTGGCATGTCCAGCCCACCCATTATCTCAGCCAATCATGGCTAGCGCGAAGGTTCTTGTCTTTTTCTGTGGCTAAACCAACTAGGCTCGTAATTTAACCATTTTATTCGTATTTACAGATGCCATACAAGTTTGTTATTAAGGCACATAAAAGTTCACATGTTCCAGAAGGCATTTCTTCCCCAAAACGCATTTTGATTAAAAAAAACTAAAACACATTACGTTCAAATGCCTATCCTGTGAAGTAGTGACATGTGACATACGCCTAGCTTCTTGAAACAGGTCACATATGAATAATTCCCTATGACAGAGATCTGACTGCTGTGTGTTGCTGACAAAAGAACAAAGCAGGAGAGGAGAAGAGAGGAAAGAACAAGGGATGGCAGGGTGTTTGAAGCCCATGTTTTTCCTACTATAAGTTTCTAAGTTTGCATCAAGGGCAGAGTTGATGCTTTCAGAATGAATAGATGACCAACAAAAGTCTACAGTATAGGATGGTACTGTCAGGTATCTGTGTAGCATCTAATTCCCCCCCTCTCCCGAGTGGCGCAGTGGTCTAAGGCACTGCATCGCAGTGTTAGCTGTGCCACTAGAGATCCTGGTTCGAATCCAGGCTCTGTCGTAGCCGGCCGCGACCGGGAGACCCATGGGGTGGCGCACAATTCGTCCAGGGTAGGGGAGGGAATGGCCAGCAGAGATGTAGCTCAGTTGATAGAGCATGGCGTTTGCAACGCCAGGGTTGTGGGTTTGATTCCCATGGGGGGCCAGTATGAAAAAAAATATGTATGCACTCACTAACTGTAAGTCGCTCTGGATAAGAGCGTCTGCTAAATGCCTAAAAAAAAAAAAAAAAAAAAAAAATCTACACAGAAGCATTCTACACACAGAGGCATTCCATTAGCGTAGCAGTCTCTCCACTGCATTTCCATTGTAAATATACAGAATATTTCATAATTTTGTCACTAATGCACATTTCCTATTTGGATTTACAATCCCTGCTTTATCAACTTGCATGTCATACAATACATCACTCACAATTACATAACTGGTGGTTTCCTCATATGCCAGCAGTCCATTTCCCTCTTATCTCTTTCAATGTCACACGCACTGGCTTTATTGAATCCCCTGTTTGCTGTTGGCTCCCAGCTCTAATGGGATTGGTTATCGCTCGTCTTCCCTTCCTCTCAGGGAGTCGGGGAGTCTGCTGCTCTGCTCTCACTATTCTGCAGCAGTGATCTTCGCTCACTGTGTGTGTGTGTATGTGTGGGTGTTTGTGTCTCAATGTGTGTTGATGTGTGTGTTTGTAATGTCCCCATGCTGGTCTCTTTTGATGTTTCATTGGTTTGCTTACACTCCATACGAGCATGCACACACGCAAACACACACACCCTGTAGATTATCATACAAACATGCCTACATTCACATGGAAGGGCGTGGATGGACCCATACTGTAAATACACACACACACACACACACACACACACACACACACACACACACACACACACACACACACACACACACACACACACACACACACACACACACACACACACACACACACACACACACACACACACACACACACACACACACACACACACACACACACACCACACACACCACACACACACACACACACACACACACACACACACACACACGCACACACACACACACACACACTCACACAACCGCACCTGCAAAAGAAAAAATGTCCAAGACTCCCCTCCTCAAATTCTCTCACATGCTCCAACAAAAAAGAGGGATTGTCTGTCTGTCTGTTTAAACTACTCTCCATAGGGAGGCCATGCAATGCATTAATATGCTTGCAGTGCCCTCTCTCCTCTCTTGACTGCAAAGACTGCTAGGCAGCAACAGAGGAAAGGAGGACTGTATAATTCCCTCCCTCTTGCAGATCTAAGCCCCACTAATAGAAACATTAGTACTGTTGTCTGCACTTCATAGGCCTCTGTCTGGCTGTCTGGAGTGGGGAAGTAATCGGAGTCCATTATCTCCTCTCCCCTACCTTACTGTTGAATCAGGCTAGAAAGTATATATACTATAGTTAATGTGCATTCCAAATGGCACCCTATTCCCTACGTAGTGCACTGCTTTTGACCAGCGTCCTATGGGCCCTGGTCAAAAGTAGTGAACTACAAAGGGAATAACACAGGCTTAGAGCCATGTAAAGGCTCCTATTCAGTGACACTAGCTGTATTCACATGTGCAATGAGTAATTCATTAGATCCAGGCGAAGTAATCATGTGTCCTAAAGTACATGGATTCCTTGAGCTCGACTCCTTTTATCCAGAGCTGTTCACAAAAAAAATGGATTCAATGCAGGAGCTATTGTTAGGTGTTCTGTAAGTGGCTTCCAAGCTAGCACATTTGGTTCCTTGGACGTTGTGGGAACATACGTTTTTGGTTTCACATTGGTTGTGGGAACGAAGTTATGCATTCCCTGACTGGTAAAACTGAACATTTTTAAATGTTCTGAGAAAACAAATGAAAATGTTGCCTGTTCTGGGAAAGTGTATTTTTAGGTTGCAGGGAGATTCTGAGAACGTCTTACTCTGGTCAATTTTCTCGACTTTACCTAAATTACCTCGACTAACCTGTGCCCCCGCACATTGACTCTGTACCGTTACCCCCTGTATATAGCCTCCCTACTGTTATTTTATTTTACTGCTGCTCTTTAATTATTTGTTATTTGTTCTTTTTTACTTATCTATTTTTTACTTAACACTTTTTTTATTTTCTTAAAACTGCATTGTTGGTTAATCGCTTGTAAGTAAGCATTTCACTGTAAGGTCTACAACTGTTGTATTCAGCGCATGTGGCAAATAACATTTTATTTGAAATTTGATTTGATTAAAAGTCTTCCTGGGAGGTTTTATTAACGCTTGAGAATGGAAAGTATAGGTTATTTGGAGATTTTTAATAACTTCCTTAAAACTTTCACTGAATGTTTCAATAAGACTGGACTGTTAATAACACTGCTAGCTTATTTTGGGAATCTTTCTTTTTTTACTCCAAGCGCAAATATGACACATACAATTAATTTCCTTAGGCATAAATTTTTTATTGTGACACGGCATCAGTGAGATTCAAACCTATAATCTTCTGTTCTCTATCCATGAAATTCGTCCACTGCACCACCAGGATGGAGCTAGCATGCCATGGTTTTTTACGCATACAAAGCTGTTCATTTTAGTCTAACAGACCCCATTTCAAAGGAAACAAGCACTCATTAAGATCAGGTGTGGCCAACACACTTAACAAGATAGAGGATAGAGAGTTTTGTTGATGCTGAGAACAGAATGTATATGTTTTTAAATAACATTCTTAGAATGTTCTCTGAACTTTACTAAAGTTTTCTTGGGGTTTTTATGGAAAGTTTTCTTAACGTTCTCAGAACAATTTGAGAACATTACTTTAAATAGAACCATGAGGAAACCTGTAGGAAACATTATACCAAAGTACTGAAATTCTCACAGAAGAACATTGTTTCTTAACGTTCTTGGAACATTCCAAATGTCATAATAGTTGAAGAACGTTGCTAGAACATTACCAACTACTATATAAAATGTAACCATGTTTGAACTTTTAGGAAATGTTCTGTCGAAGTAATGACATACCAAAACAATTAAGATTTATTAATTAAGAACATTCCCAGAAAGTTGTGAGAGGTTGTATGCAAAATAACCATAGGACAACCATGCTCTCACCAAGCACTAAGAAACAAAGAAACGTTCTCAGATAGCTGTGATAGCTGGGTTAGCGAAGAAGCACAGTTTGAATGTTATTTGATCGATTGGTTGGATGAATGTTTGATAAATTGAGTGCTTGATTGATTAGAGCACATGATAGGAGGTGAACAGAGGCAACATATGTGAAAGAAACTGTCAATAATATACTGTGGAGGACAAAGGCACCGTAAACAGTATACTCTATAACAAACAAAGCTAAAATTGCTATGCTGTTGTTCAGTGTCCTGGTTGAATGCACTGGTAAGAGTTGCTACCAAAGGACTGAAATGTAGAAGAAACATAGTACTACCACATTTTGACAAGACATTGATGTCTTGCCTTGATGTATAAGTGTGGAATAAGTCACTCACACACACAACATTTTACATTACATTTTAGTCATTTAGCAGACGCTCTTATCCAGAGCGACTTACATTTTAGTGAGTGCATACATAAAAAAATGTTTCTTACTGGCCTCCCGTGGGAATCGAACCCACAACCCTGGCGAACCCACAGCCCTGGCTGGCCATTCCCTCCACGACGCTGGGCCAATTGTGCGCCGCCCCATGGGTCTCCCGGTCGCGGCCGGCTACGACAGAGCCTGGATTCGAACCAGGATCTCTAGTGGCACAGCTAGCACTGCGATGCAGTGCCTTAGACCACAACGCTGTTTCCCGTGGAGGAAATCTCTGGACTATCCATGACACTCAGGGTCCCATGACTAGCTCAGTAGCTAAACCATTTGGACAGCTGCTATTGTTGTCTTTGACTGTTTGCGTGTTGATATGACATTGAGTGGAAAATCACTATTCCCTGATATCTCAGAGAATGGCCTGAATGGTGTTTTTTACAGCCCTAAAAGGCTTAGGATGCCAGCGGCTGCCATGTCTCCCCTCATGACTGCCTTATGCTGTGGCACGTGGCCAGAATCACTTATCGAAGTGCTTGACTATGATCCGCCAAGACAAAGACGATGTTTGGTACTTAAATTAATAATTTAATGAGAACTTATTAAGGATTTTCTTTTACACTGGCGATGCAAATTTAAAATCCTCCGAAAAGTTCTCCAACTGCTTTGTTATGTAATTGTACTTAGACAAATTTTATATGAGGCGAGATCGGCTTTATGTATAAACATTTTGTACAAGGAGTGGATACAAGGACACAACTAGCTTGAGGGGGATTGTCCACGAGTGGAGCGCTTGTGTAGTCCCACAAGGGTTCGCTGACTGTCATTGTACCAGTGGTGGAAATAGTACCCAATTGTCATACTTGAGTAAAAGTATAGATATCTTAATAGAAAATGACTCAAGTAAAAGTGAAAGTCAGCCAGTAAAATACAACTTCAGTTAAAGTCTAAAAGTATTTGGTTTTAAATATACTTAAGGATCAAAAGTAAATGTAATTACTAAAATATACTTAAGTATCAAAAGTAAAAGTAAAAGTATAAATCATTTAAAATTCCTTATATTAAGCAAAGCAGACGGCACCATTTTCTTGTTTTTACAATTTACGGATAGCCAGGGGCACACTCCAACACTCAGACATTATTTACAAAAGATGCATTTGTGTTTAGTGAGTCTGCCAGACCAGAGGCAGTAGGGATGACCATGTGAATTTGACAATTTTCCTGTCCTGCTAAGCATTGAAAATGTAACGAGTACTTTCGGTTGTCAGGGAAAATGTATGGAGTAGAAAGTACAATGTTTTCTTTAGGAATGTAGTGAATTAAAAGTAAAAGTTGTCAAAATATAAATAGTAAAGTAAAGTACAGATACCCCAAAAAACTACTTAAGTAGTATTTTTAAGTATTTTTACTTAAGTACTTTACACCACTGCATTGTACATCATATGATTAGATTGTGCAGGTCAAACCTGTACTCATTCACATAGCCCAAAGACACTGATGTCAAAGACTAGCCTAGCTCCAAAGTGTACACTACTTTGCTCTATTGTCCATTACAACACTATTACTATGGCTTTTCAATTAACATCTTCATCAAGGCTTTTGTATTCAGTCCAGTTAAGCAACTTAGGGGTGAATCCCCACTTCCACTTCATTCAAATGTTGTATTAGTCTCCCACTGACATCAATGCATGGCTAAGTGAAAATGTGACTTCAGTTGTCGTTAGGATTCGCCCCATCAGGATGTCCATTAAGTTACTCCTTGGTATTCGTGTTTAGGGAGTTATTTAGATGGGGCTCATCCCCCAATTACAGAGCTCACTGGAACGGTATGCCAGGACTGCATGGTGCTAATGCCCATGAAATAGGAGGGGGTCGCCCGAGTTCCACAGGGGGGCGGAGACGGGGGTGGTGAAGAGGTTCAGGGGGCGTGGGTGGCACAGCTGTGCACAGCTGCCTTGTCAATCATCACATACACTGCTTATAGGTCGGAGAAAATCCACTTTGACAAAGCCAGCCAATCGGTGGTGAGAAATCTGTGATGAGGTAGTGGCAGTTGGACAGACAGGACTTAGGGGAGCAATAATATAGTGAGGTTAAGGTCGAACAGACCAAGGGCAATATAACTATACAGCGAGAGAGAGAGAGAGAGAGAGAGAGAGAGAGAGAGAGAGAGAGAGAGAGAGTGAGAGAGAGAGAGAGAGAGAGAGAGAGAGAGAGGAGAGAGAGAGAGAGAGAGAGAGAGAGAGAGAGAGAGCAAGCGAGAGAGAGAGAGAGAGAGAGCAAGCGAGAGAGAGAGAGATAGAAGAGAGAGGAGAGAGAGAGAGAGGTAAGATAAGAAGAGAGAGATCAAAAAGCAATCGAGAAGAGAGTAGAGAGAGAGCAAAGCGAAGAGAGATGAGAGAGAGAGAGGGAGAGGAGAAGAGAGAGCAAGCGTCAGAGAGATGAGATTAAGAAGAGAGAGAGAGAGAGGTGGGTGGGTGGGTACAGAGATGACTAAGGCAGCATCTGCACAGATAATACCAACGTAATGACATTCTGGTAGAGACTTGAGGCAGTAGAGATACAGTAAAGTGAATGATAGAGACTTAGAATTGTGAAGAAATTGTTTTAGACAGTTGGCAGTTTGAGACATACAGTATAGTCATACAGAGATCCACAATAAGGGACCAAGATGCTAAACATAGAGGTAAGAAATGGTTTTGCACACGAGTGACACTTTCTCGCTGCTACTAAACTTATCAGTAAACAGGTTGCCTGTTATTTGACAAATTATTGATTTCCAGTTATATTGCTTATATGGTTGTATTGTTTTGGTATTTTCTCTTCATAATGGAAGAGTTATCCATCTGCATAGTTCTTCTTATTGACACATATAACACTGACTGCACCATGACTGATATTGTATGCAATATAGTCTTTGTATTTTCAATAATAAAAGAAATGGCTTTATAAAAGCCCATGAGATCTCCAGTAAAGATTACAGAGCCTTAGCAGGAGTCAGGAGAGAGAAGCACTGTCATAAACCAAGGGCAAATCCATCAGACAGAATTGCCTTATAAGACATAGAGGAGGTCATAGGGTAACAGGACACATTAGTTCTTCTCCAGCGGTAATAATGGCTTCATAAGGCTGTTGACATAATGACGTAACACTGTACTAACAGGTCATAATAGTTTATGACAACCAAACTATTATGACTTATTTGTATTTGTATTTGTATTTAGCTGCCAAGGCAGCAGCTACTCTTCCTGGGGTCCAAAGATATTAAAGCACTTACATTACATATAAAACAAAAGATAAAACAATACATCATATAACATTATTACACCACTACATATCTACAATACAAAATGTTTAATACCACCATACAACAATATCACAATGTATGCGTATGCATGTGTCAGTACCTTTGTGTGTGTCTCTTCACAGTCCCCGTTGTTCCATAAGGTGTATTTTTACCTGTTTTTTTCTAATCTGATTCTACTGCTTGCATCAGTTACCTGTGGAATAGAGTTCCATGTAGTAATGGCTCTATGTAGTACTGTGAACCTCCCATAGTCTGTTCTGGACTTGGGGACTGTGAAGAGACCTCTGGTGGCATGTCTTGTGGGGTATGCATGGGTGTCCGAGCTGTGTGCTAGTATTTTAAACAGACAGCTCGGTACATTCAGCTTGTCAACACCTCTTACAAGAACAAGTAGTGATGAAGTCAATCTCTCTTCCACTTTGAGCCATGAGAGATTGACATGCATATCATTAATGTTTGATCTCCATGTACTTTTAAGGGCCAGCCGTGCTGCACTGTTCTGAGCCAACTGCAATTTTCCTAAGTCCATCTTTGTGGCACCTGACCACACTACTGAACAGCAGTCTAGGTGTGACAAAAGTAGGGCCTGTAGGACCTGCCTTGTTGATAGTGTTGTTAAGAAGGCAGACCAGTGCTTTATTATGGACAGACTTCTCCCCATCTTAGCTACTGTTGTATCAATATGTTTTGACCATGACAGTGAACAATCCAGGGTTACTCCAAGCAGTTTAGTCACCTCAACTTGCTCAATTTCCACATTATTCATTATGAGATGTGTTGAGGTTTAGGGTTTAGTGAATGATTTGTCCCAAATACAATGCTTTTAGTTTTGAAAATATTTTGGACTAATTTATTCCTTGCTACCCACTCCGAAACTAACTGCAGCTCTTTGTGAAGTGTTGCAGTCATTTCAGTTGCTGTAGTAGCTGACATGTATAGTGTTGAGTCATCCACATACATAGACACACTGGCTTTACTCAAAGCCAGTGGCATGTCGTTAGTAAAGATTGAACAAGGTAAGGGGCCTAAACAACTACCTTGGGGAATTCCTGATTCTACCTGGATTATGTTTCAGAGGCTTCCATTAACCTCTTAAGGATCAGACACTTTTTTTCAATTTTACTTACAACAGTCATGCTAATCACATTACCGCACGTTAGCTCAACCGTCCCGTATACGGGACACCGATCCCGTAGAGGTTAAATAACACCCTCTCTGTTCTGTTAGACAAGTAACTCATTATCCACATTATAGCAGGGGGTGTAAAGCCATAAAACATATGTTTTTCCAGCAGCAGACTATGATCAATAATGTCAAAAGCTGCACTGAAGTCTAACAAGACAGCCCCCACAATCATTTTATCATCAATTTCTCTCAGCCAATCATCAGTCATTTGTGTAAGTGCTGTGCTTGTTGAGTGTCCTTGTCACGATCGTGGGAAGGAGTAGACCAAGGCGCAGCGTGTGAAACAAATAATTAGTTAAAGTTAAATATACAAAACAAGAAACGACTCGTGACGTCCATCGATAACACTGACCGAACACGGAACAAAAACCCACAACCCCCAAGGGAAAACATACAGTTTAAATATGGCTCCCAATCAGAGACAACCAGCAAACAGCTGACACTCGTTGCCTCTGATTGGGAGTCACAACGTCAAACATAGAATCAAACAAACTAGAATACCCAACATAGAAAATGAACACACAGAATGAACACACCCTGGCTCAACATATAGAGTCCCAGAGCCAGGGTGTGACAGTACCCCCCCCTAAAGGCGCGGACTGCGACCGCGCCTCAACAAAACCCCAAACAGGGGAGGGCTGGGTGGGCATTCCTCCTCGGAGGCGGCTACGGCTCCGGCCTTGACCACCACCCCTCCATAATTCCCCCGTAGCGCCCCTGGTCCGGTCTGACCCCGCTGGCTGGATCTGGACTGGACATTGACGGAGCGGATTGCTTACGCTCCGTTGTGGAGCAGCTGACCGGTCTTACCAGGCTGACGACTCGCCCCCCGGGCTTGGTGCGAGTAGCAGGAACGGGCTGAACCAGGCTGACGACTCGCACCCCTGGCTTGGTGCGAGTGGCAGGAACGGGCTGGACCAGGCTGACGACTCGCACCCCTGGCTTGGTGCGAGTGGCAGGAACGGGCTGGACCAGGCTGACGACGCACACCGTAGGCTTGGTGCGTGGAGCAGGGACAGGCCGGGCTGGGCTGTCGACGCACACCGTAGGCTTGGTGCGTGGAGCAGGGACAGGCCGGACAGGACTGTCGACGCACACCGTAGGCTTGGTGCGTGGAGCAGGGACAGGCCGGGCTGGGCTGGCGACGCACACCGTAGGTTTGGTGCGTGGAGCAGGAACAGGCCGGGCAGGGCTGTCGACGCACACCGTAGGCTTGGTGCGTGGAGCAGGGACAGGCCGGGCTGGGCTGGCGACGCACACCGTAGGTTTGGTGCGTGGAGCAGGGACAGGCCGGGCTGGGCTGTCGACGCACACCGTAGGTTTGGTGCGTGGAGCAGGGACAGGCCGGGCAGGGCTGGCGACGCACACCGTAGGTTTGATGCGTGGAGCAGGGACAGGCCGGGCTGGGCTGGCGACGCACACCGTAGGTTTGGTGCGTGGAGCAGGGACAGGCCGGACCGTACTGGGAACACACACCACTGGCTTTAAACGGGGATCAGGAACGGGCCGGACCGGACTGGCAATACACCTCAGTCCCTCTCGCCGTGCCTCTACGACTTCCTTCCCTCCTCTCGCCAATGGCTCCCGTAACCCGGTGGCCTTCTCTCCTCTTCTCCTATTTCGCCCTGTGGCAGCCTCCTGCTGCCCAGTCGCCCATGCCGTGTGCCCCCCCCTAAAATTTTTTTGGGGGTGCCTCTCGTCCGTCCGACGATGGCACTGCTGACGCCGCTGCTCCTCTCTCGCCAGGGCCTTGATCCTACCCCAAGGTCCCTTGCCCCCGAGCATGTCCTCCCAGGACCACACTTTGCCCACCTGGGCCATCGCCAGCCTCTCCATCTCCTTTCCTGGCGCTTCCTCCCATGACCAGGCTGCCTGCTCCTGGACACGCTGCTTGGTCCTTGTACGGTGGGTTTTTCTGTCACGATCGTGGGAAGGAGTAGACCAAGGCGCAGCGTGTGAAACAAACATGACTTTAATTAGTTAAAGTTAAATATACAAAACAAGAAACGACTCGTGACGTCCAACGATAACACTGACCGAACACGGAACAAAAACCCACAACCCCCAAGGGAAAACATACAGTTTAAATATGGCTCGCAATCAGAGACAACCAGCAAACAGCTGACACTCGTTGCCTCTGATTGGGAGTCACATCGTCAAACATAGAATCAAACAAACTAGAATACCCAACATAGAAAATGAACACACAGAATGAACACACCCTGGCTCAACATATAGAGTCCCAGAGCCAGGGTGTGACAGTCCTTCCCTATAAGCGTGCTGAAAGTCTGTTGTCAATTTGTTTACTGTGAAATAGCATTGCATCTGGTCAAACACCATTTCTTCCAGAGGTATACTAAGGCTTGGTAACAGGCTGATTGGTCGGCTATTTGTGCCACTAAATTGTCAGACCCCGGTGGCTTGTCATTGTTGATGGACAACAATAATGTTTTCACCTCTTCCACACTGACTTTACGGAATTCAAAAGTACAATTCTTGTCTTTCATAATTTGGTCAGATGTACTTGGATGTGTAGTGTCAGCGTTTGTTGCTGGCATGTCATACTTAAGTTTGCTTATCTTGCCAATAAAAAAAGTCATTAAAGTAGTCGCCAATGTCAGTGGGTTTTGTGATGAATGAGCCGAGTTTACCTTTTTTACCAACATTTCATTTAAGGTGCGCCAAAGCTTTTTACTATCATTCTTTATATCATTTATTTTAGTTTCATAGTATAGTTTATTTTTATTTTTATTTAGTTTAGTCACATGATTTCTTAATTTTTACAGTCATTTTCTTAATGGGAGCGTGCTAGGTTTGCCAATTAACAGTTTTTACAGTCATTCTCTTAATGGGTGCATGCTTATTAGTAACTGGAATAAGCAATTTCATAAATGTGTCAAGTGCAGCGTCTGGTTGCTCCTCATTACACACCACAGACCAGCAAATATTATTTACATCATGAACATATGATTCACTACAAAACGTATTGTGTTACACTATATTAGGCCCAGCCTTTGGAACTTTGGTTTTCCTAGATATGGCTACGATATTGTGATCACTACATCCTATGGATTTGGATACTGCTTTAAAGCTAATTTCTGCAGCATTAGTAAAGATGTGATCAATACATGTTGATGATTTTATTCCTGTGCTGTTTGTAAATACCCTGGTAGGTTGACTGACAACCTGAACCAGGTTGCAGGCACTGGTTACAGTTTGAAGTTTTTTCTTGAGTGGGCAGCTTGATGAGAGCCAGTCAATATTTAAATCACCCAGAAAATATACTTCTCTGTTGAGATCACATACACTATCAAGTATTTCACACATATTATCCAGATACTGACTGTTAGCACTTGGTGGTCTATAGCAGCTTCCCACAAGAATGGGATTTAGGTGAGGCAGATTAACCTGTAGCAATATTACTTCAACAGTATTTAACATCAAATCGTCTCAAAGCTTTACATGAATGTGGTTCTGAATATTGACCGCAACACCGCCTGACAGTCTGACAGGCTCAGATGTTATTTATTAATTGGAGGATACCTTTATTACAGTATCTATCAAAGTTTGATTGCATAGGTAGAAATTTGTTTATGATTGTCGAGAGCAAGGTTGGAATAGGAAAAAGATCTCTCTGGGAATTCACTACTCTGAAATCTCCAGGCATTCTTCTCCAAAACATTTTTGTATTTCCCCTGAGATTTTAACTTTGGAAACCACATTCCCAGGTGTTCCTCCCAAATTCCACCCCTCTCCTCCCTATGATTGTACTGTTGAAGAGGATGGTTGTGGGGAGGTTTATTGGTTGTTATCCCAGTGAAAATGTCAGCTCGTAATGTAGACAGACACAGCAGGAATAAAACGTGGGCATACAGAGTGCAGCCGAGCTTGTCCTCTGCTTCCCAGGAGCACCTGAAGAGAAGGCCTGCCCTCTGAGCCTCTCCACAGCTGCTGCCTTCAAAACTAAGAGTGGAGCAGAATTCAACCACCATGTTGTACTTTACGCCTTTTCCTCTTGTTTTTTGTTTATGTGTCTCCCTCGCTTGGGCTCAACATCAAGTTGCTATTGCTCTCTTACGGGATCGCCCGCAAACACCTGCATGCACACTTGCACACGCTTATTTGCTACACATACACACTCTCTCTCTCTGTCTCTCGCACTCCCTCATTCCCTCCTCTCACCTCTCCCTTGCTGTACGTTTCAGTCTCAGTCTTCCTCCCTCTGCCTTTCTCTCTCTCTCTCTCTCTCTCTCTCTCTCTCTCTCTCTCTCTCTCTCTCTCTCTCGCTCTCTCTCTCTCTCACTTTCTCTCCTGCTCCCTACTTCCTCTCTCTACAGCTGACTAACCACAAACTTTGCAATTCCCTCGTGCCACCAACTTCTCTCCTCAACAGCTTGATGCTTGTGGGATGTTAGAAGCAGAAGGTGTACTGCTTCTGGCTCACACACATGCCTTAAATCTCAACACAAATGAGGGGCACCACTTGCAACCTGTCATCCTGCTCAATTCATGACAGATGTGTGTATTTGTGTGTGCAAGTGTGCGTGTCCATCTTTACCTACTGTGTGTGTTTGTGAATGGGCATTTATTTGTGTGTGTGTAGGTATGTGTGCATTTGCATGTGTGTGTTTGAATGTATTAGAGGCGTGTGTGAGCATACCCCCATCTACAGCTTGGGTGTGCCTTTTGCTGGCACACCAAATCAAAGCGAGCCCAACTGTGGCTGTTGGGAAGAGAACAGATGCATAAGTGAATGTGAGCAGTGTTCACAGAGAACTGTCAGAGCTCATTACTGTAGTCTTTGGGCTGGAAAATGGCTGTCCGTGGGGATTCATTATAAACAACCTGCTCTAGCGACTCCTGCAATGCGCTGCTGTAACGAGAGGTCCATTTCCTCATATTTCCTCACATCTTCATCATCTTATCTTCCCTCGGTGGTTAGAATTGGGCAGGTGAAGTCTGAAGCCTCAGTGGTAACCTGCATTATAATGGAAGTTTGTCTAGCTAGTGTTCTGCTAGCTTTGTTCATCAGTGTTCTTTTGGTTCTAATTCTCTGTGGAGTGGGTACTGGTGAATCTGGCATTAAACACTCAAGACCACATGATTTACATAGCATTAATAATAGATATTTATATCTTTCCATTTCTTCGTGTAAATTGTCTCTTGGCTAGTATGAACTCAAAATGAATTCAACACATTTAACTCCTCAGCTCACACTTCAATACATTTGTTTGAAGCTTTGTAAAATATGTTTATTGCAACAGTTTTGGTGGCTGCTGCGTCGTTATGTTTTATGCAGTTGTCTCATCCTGAGGAAACTGCTATGCTGTTTTGGCTCTCTGTCTGGGATTTTTTTGTTGTGTCTGGTGGTTTTATCTTGTTTTAGGCAATTCCCTCGTTTTGTCTGTGTTATTGGTTGTCTTTTTGCAGTGGTTGTGTTGTTTTGTCTGTGTTATTGGCTGTCTTTTTGCAGTGGTTGTGTTGTTTTGTCTGTGTTATTGGCTGTCTTTTTGCAGTGTTTGTGTTGTTTTGTCTGTGTTATTGGCTGTCTTTTTGCAGTGGTTGTGTTGTTTTGTCTGTGTTATTGGCTGTCTTTTTGCAGTGTTTGTGTTGTTTTGTCTGTGTTATTGGCTGTCTTTTTGCAGTGTTTGTGTTGTTTTGTCTGTGTTATTGGCTGTCTTTTTGCAGTGGTTGTGTTGTTTTGTCTGTGTTATTGGCTGTCTTTTTGCAGTGGTTGACTTGTTTTGTCTGTGTTATTGGCAGTCTTTTTTGCAGTGGTTGTGTTGTTTTGTTTGTGTTATTGGCTGTCTTTTTGCAGTGGTTGACTTGTTTTGTCTGTGTTATTGGCTGTCTTTTTTGCAGTGGTTGTGTTGTTTTGTCTGTGTTATTGGCTGTCTTTTTTGCAGTAGTTCTGTTGTTTTGTCTGCGATTTTGTGGTTGTCTTTTTGCAGTGGTTGACTTGTTTTGTCTGCGGTTATTTCACAGCAGCTGTGTGGCTTTGCTGTTGTGTTTTTGTTGTTTTGCCGTGTTGATTGTATCAATCTGTCTCTCCCTCTATCCCATAGGCCCGTACCCCCCGTGTGATCCGTCCCAACCCCAACCAGCCGGCTCTAGCTGACCAGGCCAGCAGAGTATCCTTTGCCTCGGCTGAGATCCTGGAAACCATGTCTGAGGCCGACGTTCCCCTCGGGTTCAACCGCATGAACCGCCTCCGCCAGAGCCTGCCCCTGGCACGCTCATCCAGCCAGGCCAAGCTCCGCGCGCCAGGTCAGAACAACATGGTCAAATCAGGGTCATATCACCGTCGTATTGACCACAGTCATAGCAACCAACATAATAATAATAATAATAATAATAATATGCCATTTAGCAGACACTTTTATCCAAAGCGACTTACATCTGTGCCATCTTTGTGGTTGTAGATACGCTCGCTCTCAAGGGAGTTCTATTCATATTCATGAGGAGCATTAGGATCACATTCTCAATATTTGGCTAATTACAGATCTAAGTGTGTAAGTGATTCTATTTCGAATGAGTCACTGATTGCCACGAATTCATTTTGAAAAAGCCCCAGCATACAGGTGAGATTATTGCAATGGTACCCTCTCTGTCCTCTGTCCTGTGTGTAGAAGATCATTGTGTGAGTGTTTGTGTGAACAATCAGGTCCCAAATTATTGTCACCCTTGAAAAAGATGAGCAAAATATACTGCATAAAATAAATTATGTTGTATATTTTGTATAAATATATTGTATATATTGTATGCTCAGAAAAATTGGGAAATTATATTATTTTATACTAATAGTAATATTGTAATAATGTTTTTCTCTCAAAAAGATAAGGGTAAAATGTATTGTCACCCCTGTTTTCACTACCTTTCAATACCTCACTTTGTGACGATAATGGCACTGAGCAGTTTCCCCAAAAAAATTATGTGATTGGAGAACACATTGGGAGGGATCTTAGACCATTCATCCATACAGAATCTTTCCAGAGCCTTGATATCCTTCTTCTGTGCTTATGGATTGCCCTCTTCAATTCAAACCACAGGTTTTCAATGGGATTCAATTCCGGAGACTGAGCTGGCCATTGCAAAATGTTGATTTTGTGTTCAATTAACCATTTATTTGTGGATTTGATGTGTGCTTGGGGTTATTGTCTTGCTGGAAGATCCACTTGCGGCGAAGTTTCAGCCTCCTAGCAGAGGCAACCAGGTTTTGGTCTAAAATGTCCTGGTACTGAGTAAAGTTCATCATGCCATTGATCTTAACAAGGGCACCAGGACCAGTGGAAGCAAAATAGCCCCATAACATCAAAGATCCACCACAATATTTTACAGTACATGTAGGTACAGTGCATTCGGAAAGTATTCAGACCCCTTCACTTTTTCCACATTTTGTGACATTACAGCCATATTCTAAATTGATTAAATTGTTTTTTCCCTCATCAATCAACAAATAATACCCCATATAGACAAAGCAAAAACTGTTTTTTAGAAATGTTAGCACATTTATTAAAAACAAAAAACTGAAATATCAGATTTACATAAGTATTCAGACCCTTTACTCAGTATTTTGGCAGTGATTACAGCCTCCAGTCTTCTTGGGTATGACGCTACAAGCTTGGCACAGCTATATTTGGGGAGTTTCTTCCATTCTTCTCTGCAGATTCTCTTAAGCTCTGTCAGGTTGGATGGGGAGCATCGCTGCACAGCTATTTTCAGGTCTCTCCAGAGATGTTCGATCGGGTTCAAGTCCGGGCTCTGGCTGGGCCACTCAAGGACATTCAGAGATTTGTCCCGAAGCCACTCCTGCATTGTCTTGGCTGTGTGCTTGGGTTTGTTGTCTTGTTGGAAGGTGAACCTTTGCCCCAGTCTGAGGTCCTGAGCGCTCTGGAGCAGGTTTTCATCAAGGATCTCTCTGTACTTTGCTCCATTCATCTTTCCCTCGATCCTGACATGTCTCCCAGTCCCTGCTGCTGAAAAACATTGCCACAGCATGATGCTGCCACCAACATGCTTCACCGTAGGGATGGTATTAGCCAGGTGATGAGCGGTGCCTGGTTTCCTCCAGACGTGTCGCCTGGCATTCAGGCCAAAGAGTTCAATCTTGGTTTCATCAGACCAGAGAATCCTTTTGGCAAACTCCAAGCGGGCTGTCATTTGCCTTTTTCTGATGACTTCCTTCTGTCTGCCATTCTACCATAAAGGCCTGATTGGTGGAATGCTGCAGAGATGGTTGTCCTTCTGGAATGTTCTCCCATCTCCACAGAGGAAGTCTGGAGCTCTGTCAGAGTGACCATCGGGTTATTGGTCACCTCCCTGACCAAGGCCCTTCTCCCCCGATTGCTCAGTTTGGCCGGGTGGCCAGCTCTAGGAAGAGTCTTGGTGGTTCCAAACTTCTTCCATTTAAGAATGATGGAGGCCACTGTGTTCTTGGGGACCTTCAATGCTGCAGAAATGTTTTGGTACCCTTCCCCAGATCTTTGCCTTGACACAATCCTGTCTCTGAGCTCTACGGACAATTCCTTTGACCTCATGGCTTGGTTTTTGCTCTGACATGCACTTTCAACTGTGGGACCTTATATGGACAGGTGTGTGCCTTTCCAAATCATGTCCAATCAATTGAATGTACCACAGGTGGACTACAATCAAGTTGTAGAAACATCTCAAGGATGATCAATGGAAACAGGATGCACCTGAGCTCAATTTCTAGTCTCATAGCAAAGGGTCTGAATACAAATGTAAATAAGGTATTTCAGTTTTTTATTTTTAATACATTTGCCAACATTTCTAAAAACCTGTTTTTGCTTTGTCATTATTGGGTATGGTGTGTAGATCGATGAGGGAAAAAAAGTATTAATACATTTTTGAATAAGCTGTAACTTAACAGAATGTGGAAAAGGTGAAGGGGTCTGAATACTTCCCGAATGCACTGTATGTGATTAATTTCTACATATGCATATATGTTTTCGACAGGTGTGTGTGGCCAAAGAGCTCTGTTTTCATGTCATCCAACAAATGTAAACGCCTAGAGTTTGGTAAACGGCATTGGCACTTGGATTGAAATAGGTGCTATGGTCAGATGGCCATGCACATGCCATGGGTTTTGCTTCGAAAGAAAGATGCACATGTAGAAAAGAACCCCATACAAACTGTAAAATATGGTGGTGGATCTTTGATGTTATGGGGTTATTTTGCTGCCACTGGTCCTGTGGCCCTTGTTAAAGTCAACGGCATCATGAACTATACCCAGTACAAGGACATGTTGGACCTGACTGTACAGTATGTGCATGTGTTTGTTGATTCATTACAGTCAAATGACACTCTCCTCTCCTCTCCTCTCCTCTCCTCTCCTCTCCTCTCCTCTCCTCTCCTCTCCTCTCCTCTCCTCTCCTCTCCTCTCCTCTCCTCTCCTCTCCTCTCCTCTCCTCTCCTCTCCTCTCCTCTCCTCTCCTCTCCTCTCCTCTCCTCTCCTCTCCTCTCCTCTCCCCCTGCCTCCCTTCATCCTCCCCCTCAGGCATTCTCTTCCTCCAGCTGGGGGAGGAGACGAGGCGGGTGCACCTGACCCATGAGCTGACCAGCCTGGAGACCCTGAGGGCCCTCATCGTCCACATGTTCCCCCAGAGGCTCACCATGGCAATGCTCAGGTGGCTTTATCACACTTTACTAGAATGCTCTGTTATAAAGGCTACATAACACTGTCATAACAATGGCATAGCAGGTGTCATAAACAGTCATCAATATAACAACTTACTTTACAACAACAAAAATATTACTTTAGCTAAGATAATATCAGATTCATTAGCTAATAAGATGCATCCTATGAATTGAAACAAAAACAAAAAATGTTATTATGTAATTACCAAAGTAATAAGAATAAGTGGCCTGTTAAATTGTAAACCAAAGGTAATGTAGAGGACAAAATGCTCAGGTATCAATGCCCATGTTCAGGTGCCCCAGCACGGCCCTGCTGATCAAGGATGAGGCCCGTAACGTCTTCTATGAGCTGGAGGACCCACGAGACGTCCAGGACCGCTGTGTCATCAAGATCTACTGCAAGGAGCCGGTCTACGGCACCTACCCTGGACACCACAACCCACACCTGGCTAACGGAGACCTCCGGGTGAGTGTAGAAGGGGGATATTTGTGTCTGTCTGTCCATCTGTATGTGTAGGCGTTGCTCGCCATCAGGAGTGGTGGTCACTAAAGGGTTACAAGGACCTCAACAAGCTCTCTACAGAATTGAGTGCAAATACTGAGCCAATTACTTCTTCGCCCTAAATACCATTATATTTGTAGCTAGTCATGCTGTTCTGACATTGATAGTATTTTGTTTACAAATGGAAAAAAAGAGTAGTCATTATGTAACCTACTGGAGCACAAATTAAACTCAGCCAGTCTCTATTAAATGAGTCTGCATGACTGAGTAATATGCTAGTACAACAGTAGCACCACTGTTGCTGTTTTTGAATCCATGCCAACCTGTTTCCCTCCAAGGCAAAAAAAGTATGTTTGCTGACTGATAATGTTGTGTAATGTTGTACATACACAGTTGTTCTCAAATGGTGGGTCGGCTAGAGACATGGCTTTGTGTATTTAATGAGACACTACAAAGTGCGGTTTGAGAGCTTCAAGTTCCTCGGTGTCCACATCACTAAGGACCTATCATGGTCCAAACACACCAACGCAGTCGTGAAGAGGGTACGACAATGCCTCTTCCACCTCAGGAGGTTGAAAAGATTTGGCATGGGCCCTCAGATCCTCACAAAGCTATACAGCTGCACCGTTGAGAGCATCTTGATTGGCTGCATCACCGCTCGGTATGGCAACTGCTTGGCCTCTGACCGCAAGGCGCTACAGAGGGTAGTGCGTAGGGTCCAGTACATCACTGGGCTGAATTCCCTGCCATCCTGGACCTCTATAACAGACGGTGTCAGAGTAGATGGCCCTAAAAATGTTCAAAGACTCCAACCACCCAAGTCATGGACTGTTCTCTCTGCTACCGCATGGCAAGCGGTACCGGAGCGCCAAGTCTGTGACCAAAAGGCACCTGAACAGCTTCTTCTAAGACTGCTGAACAGTTAATCAAATGGCTAACCAGACAATTTACATTGACCCCCTTTTATTATTTATTTATTGATCTTAATTGTTTTGCACCGACTCCCTTGACTGGCTCTATGCACACTCACTAGACTCCACCCACACACTCACAACCAGCTGGTACCACTACACAGTGACGCAGTACTGGTAATCCTTGTATATTGCCTCGTTATTGTTTTTATTGTGTTACTATTTCCTTTTTTATTTAGCAAATTTGATATGATTTGTCTTACTTTTTAACTGGGAATGGGCCCGTAAGTAAGCGTTTCACTGTAAAGTCTACACCTGTTGCATTCGGCGCATGTGACCAATAACGTTTGATTTGATTTGATTTGCTTTAGGCTTAGTCGGCCGACAACTCAAATACAGTAGATTGGGAAATGTTGGCATACGCAGTATAGAACTGGCGTTGTGTCACTCTAGACAGTGATAAGCAGAAAAGAAGGAGAAAAGAAGGCGATAGAAAGTGAGAATGTGAGAGGGGGGAAGAGAGGGGAGAGAAAGAGAGAGATTTTGACACTTCTGCCACTTCCACTCATGTCAATCACCACCCTAGGGGGCCCTAGTGCATGTGCATCTGTCTGTGCAAGTGTGTGTGTGTGTTTGTGTTTGTGTATGTGTGTCTGTGTGTCTGTGTGTGTGTGTGTGTGTTTGTGTGTCTGTCTGTGTGTCTGTATGTGTATTTGTGTGTGTCTGTCCATGTGTGTATGTGTGTGAATTGCAGCTGCCCAGTGCGTTTTGGAGGTCAACTCTCCGATCTCCCCCAAGCTTTACTTTGCAACAACGTTGCGCACAATACAGCTCACCACAACTCAGCTCCGAATTTCCCCTCCACTCAGCTCTGAATTCTCCCTTGCGTTTGATGGCTTTATCAAGCAACTTGGTTTAACTTGGGTTTTATGTGCTGGAGGATAGGAGGAATCTGAGAGATAGGAGCTACGGTACAGAGGTGAGTAAAGGGGGCTGGACATGAGCCAGCCGAGCAGAGATGACTATCTGATTACAGACTGTAAACGATGACTGGGACCACTGAGTAGCACTGCACTGAGACAGGGAGGATGGAAGGACAAATGGATGGACGACAGGGCTTAGTGGAGATTGATTGGCTATGAGGTGACAGGTTAGAGTAGTGGGGGGGAGATACAGCGACAATGTGATCTGCTGTGATCTATAAGGGACATTCTGTGTGACAGTGGGGCTTGGGAATCTAGTGTGAGATGTGGTGGTGGTGGGCCCCTGTCTAGTCACTCACATCTAGTGGGATTATTTCCCTGTAGATATAGAGGCAGTTGCTAAGATACAGGATGGAGATGGTGGAGATGAAGGCGCTCCAGTCATTACTCCAGTGTGTGTGTAGAGTCCATTGGGGGCTGTATTGTCGGTGAGGTTATTGTACAGTAGGTATATACACTCAGTTGCCAGTTTATTAGGTACACCCATCTAGTACCAGGTCAGACCCCCCTTTGCCTCCAGAACAGCCTGAATTCTTCGGGGCATGGAAACGTTTCTCAATTGGTATCAAGTAACCTAATGTGTGCCATGAAAACATTCCCCACACCATTACACCACAGCCACCAGCCTGTACCGTTGACACCAGGCAGGACGGGGCCATGGACTCATGCTGCTTACGCCATATCCTGACTCTGCCATCAGCATGACGCAACAAGAACCGAGATTCGTCGGACCAGGCAATGTTTTTCCACTCCTCAATTGTCCAGTGTTGGTGATCGCATGCCCACTAGAGCCGATTCTTCTTGTTTTTAGCTGATAATAGTTTAACCATGTAGGGTCGTCTGCTGCAAAGCCCATCCATGACAAGGACCGACGAGTTGTGCGTTCTGAGATGCCGTTCTGCACACCACTGTTGTACTGCGCCGTTATTTGCCTGTTTGTGGCCCTCCTGTTAACTTGCACGATTCTTGACATTCTCCTTCGAGCGCTCCTCAACTAGCTGTTTTTGCCCACAGGACTGCCGCTGACTGGGTTATTTTGTTTGTCGCATCATTCTCGATAAACCCTATACACTGTCGTGCGTGAAAGCCCAGGAGGCCAGTTGTTTCTGAGATACTGGAACCGGCACGCCTGGCACCGACGATCATACCACGCTCAAAGTCACTTATGTCACTCAGGTTTTGCCCATTCTAACGTTCAATCGAACAATAACTGAATGCCTCGATGCCTGTCTGCCTGCTTTATATAGCAAGCCACGGCCACGTGACTCACTGTCTGTAGGAGTGAACCATTTTCCTGAATGCGGTGGTGTACCTAATAAACTGGCCACTGAGTGTATTTTGGGCAGGTATATTATACAAATATTATATGGCAGGTATCCTGATGCAGCACTCCACCACTCTCCTTCTTGGAAAAATAGCCCTTACAAAGCCTGGAGGTGTGTTGGGTCATTGTTCTGTTGAATAACAAATGATAGTCCCACTAAGCCCAAATCAGAAGGGATGGCGTATCTCTGCAGAATGCTGTGGTAGCCATGCTGGTTAAGTGTGCCTTGAATTCTAAATAAATCACAGACAGTGTCACCAGCAAAGCACCCCCACACCATCACGGTGGGAACTACACATGCAGAGATCATCCGTTCACCTACACTGCGTCTCAAAAAAATCTACAATTTGGACTCCAGACCAAAGGACACATTTCCACCGGTCTAATGTCCATTGCTCGTGTTTCTTGGCCCAAGCAAGTCTCTTCTTCTTATTGGTGTCCTTTAGTAGTGGTTTCTTTGCAGCAATTCGACCACGAAGGCCTGATTCAAGCAGTCTCCTCTGAACAGTTGATGTTGAGATGTGTCTGTTACTTGCTCTGTGAAGAATTTATTTGGGCTACAATTTCTGAGGCTGGTAACTCTAATGAACGTATCCTCTGCAGCAGAGGTAACTCTGGGTCTTCCATACCTGTGGCGGTCCTCATAAGAGCCAGTTTCATCATAGCGCTTTATGGTTTTTGTGACTGCACTTGAAGAAACTTTCAAAGTTCTTGAAATGTTCCGTATTGACTGACCTTCATGTCTTAAAGTACTGATGGACTGTCGTTTCTCTTTGCTAATTTGAGCTGTTCTTGCTATAATATGGAGTTGGACTTTTACCAAATAGGGCTATCTTCTGTATACCCCCCTACTTTGTCACAACACAACTGATTGGCTCAAACACATTAAGAAGGAAAGAAATTCCACAAATTAACTTTTAAGAAGGCACCCCTGTTAATTGAAATGCAATCCAGGTGACTACCTCATGAAGCTGGTTAAGAGAATGCCAAGAGTGTGCAAAGCTGTCATCAAGGCAAAGGCTGGCAATTTGAAGAATCTCAAATCTAAAATATATTTTGATTTGTTTAACACTTTTTTGGTTACTACATTATTCCATATATATATGACTGGATGTCTTTTGTTTGTCGCACCATTCTCGATAAACCCTAGACACTGTCGTGTGTGAAAAGCCCATGAGGCCGGTCTTTGATGTGCTGTCTTTTGAATCACCTGTGATGTTGTATGGTATGGTATCTGCTCTATTGTACTCTATTCTGTTGTACCTTAACCTGTTATATTCTATTGTATTCTACGTTGTTTTGTTCTACTTCTGCTCTATTCTGCTCTATTCTCTTCTCTTCTATTCCACTCTATTCTATCTTGAATGTTGCCGTTTATTTCTATCCTTCCTCTCTTCCTCTGATGACAGAGGGATATGGTGTACATGCCCCAGCAGGATTCCCCAACCAACCGTCGCCTCAGCAACGCCCCCGCACCCGCCTCCTCTGCCTCTGCCCCCTCCGGCTCGCCATCCCGCGTCCGTCTCCTCTACAGTGGGGGCCGCCCATCCTCTTACGCTGGGCAACCTCACCCTCAGCATCATCCCCAAACCCACTCCCTCCCCCACCCCCACCACACCTCGCCAGGGGGTCAGAGTGCAGCCCACCACCAGCATCACCCCCAGCAGCTCCACCACCAGCCCCAGCAACACCAGCCCCAGCTACAGCACCATGCCCAGGCAGGCTTCTCCCCCAGTGCAATCCTGGAGCGTAGGGATGTGAAGCCCGATGAGGAGGTCCACGGCATCGGCTCCAGGAGCATGGTGCTCCGGCGGGGTGATGCAGGGGGGATCTATGCCGACCCCTATTCCCTGGGCCAGGAAGGAGGCCGCCTCAGCCTGGCCGGCCCCCACTCCCCTCTACCCCCAAGAGGGGACGCCTACGGCTCTCTCTACCGGCGTGGAGGAGGTGGAGGTGGAGGGGGCGGAGGAGGGTTGGGACCCGGCTCCGTGCGCTCCCTCACTTCCTACTCGGCGGCGGCTCTGCAGGGAGAGCTGATGGACAGTGGCATCCTCTACAGGCCTGGAGGCCCACTGTATAATGATGCAGCCTACGCCGCGTCCATGAGGGACTTGTATTCGGGCACCATGCCCGGCCGGGACTCCCCTGGGAGGCAGACTCTGCGGAGGGACTCGGTGTCCTCCTGCGTGTTTGGGGAGAGTCCCAAAGCTAGGGGTCAAGGGTCAGGGTTGGGGTCTGATCAGCTGTGTTTAATGGCTGGACCTGGAGGGGAGGGCAGTGGTTTCAGTTCAGCACCAGGTTTCAGTTCCCCTCTACCAGGCAACGAGACAGAGACCAGGTAAGAGTGTGTGTGTCTGTGTGTGTGGTGTGTGTTTGTGTGTGTGTGTGTATGTATGTATGTTTTGTGTGTCTGTGATGGGTATTTTGTGTGTATTTAAACTGACTCATACCCTATGTGTGTCATTGCTAAGGGGGCGTATGGAGGCCATGGAGAAACAGATAGCCAGTCTGACTGGTCTACTGCAGACTGTTCTGACCAGGGGACCAGAGGCCGACAGCCCGTAAGACACACACGCAAGCATGCACGCACAAACACACACAGGCACACATGTAACGGTGGGGACAGTGGAGGAAGCTAAACTGTTAGCAGCACACTGATGTCCGTTTCACTGGTGCCGTGACCTGGATTGGCAGTTGGGCTCAGCTCAACGGCCGGGTCACACTTGCTGTGTAGTGAGTTTAGAAGGGGTGAGTGTAACGGAGTTAAGAATGTACCGTAAGCTCACTCCACAGCTAGCTTGAAATGTCGCCGATGGAGCTATCGAATTAGATATTTTTCAACAGCTCAAACGGTTGGTATGTTGGCAAGGAGGGCTGTCGTGTTGTTGCGAAGCAGAGGATCAATGGTTAAAGCCCGGTATGGGGACAGGGACAGTGGAGGAAGATATACAGTTAGCAGCACACTGATGTCCGTTTCACACACACAGGCGTGTGCACACACATACACATACATACATACACACACGCACACACACATTCAGTACATACAGTACACACAGAGTGGGGACCTAAAGCTATTTTGTATTTTACAGGGACAAGATTGAGACGGCCAGTGACTGCTCTGGGACAGACAGTAAGTATCAATCAGGGATACCTGACAACAAATATACATTCACTTTCACTGTGTCCCATTGACTTGGCAATATAAAGAGTAAGGGTTAGGATTGCACAGCATTGCAAAATAAAGAACATGATCCATTGCATAGCATTGTAAATGTTCTGTAGCTGAACTGCTTACCGTATGTGTACTGCTCATGTGTGACCGATGTGCTTGAAGAACCATCAAGTGTGTATTTGCTTATGTTAGTAATGGGTGCCATGCTTCTTGTGCCTTATTTTAGCTGGACGGTTAAAAAACAAGAAAGGTATCTTCTTGTCCAAAGTCCTCATCCTCTTTTCCCTGTGTGTCTCAATGACAGACGGCTTCCCTTACAGTTGGTGTCTCCCGTTTGATGTACTTTGAGTTTTGTGAGGATTCTGTTTTGATTCTCTTGTTTGTTATGTCTGCATTCAGTGTCTGGATTCAGGACTCGGCTCAGAATATGTTTCCCAATCCATACTGTTCATGCTGGAATATTATTGTGCTTGTCTTGTTATTTGGTTCTTTGGGTGGATCAAGATTTATTTATACTCCTGATACCATTCACACAGACCTGCAAAAAATATGGTTAATTGCAGGAAGTCGTCTGTGTGAAAGGTGATTTTGTGTTGTCAGATAAAAATAGGCCATTTACCTCTTTATCTACGCCCACTCCAGACAGGTATTAGAAGGCCAGCTTTTAGTTAGACAATGAACTTAGAAATACACTGTAACTGTCACATGCCCTCCCCGAAAACAAGGTGTTCTTCTACAATTAGTTGTGCCAAGCTCCAATTTCTCTGTCTCCCAGTACAGGTAAGAAGTCTTCTAGGAAGTCAGTTGAGCGGTATACTGCAGTACATCTGCTCTTCTGTTCAAATTGTAACATTCTGTATGACCTTGTGTTTTAACCATCTCCTCTGAAAGAATAGTTCACCTAAATTACAAAACCAATTTTAAGTTTCTTTGCCTGGAAAGTGATCAGTGCTAATGGACTATTTGGACTATTTTCAAAGCACTTTAATTGTTTTCAATGTAGAGCAATAAGTGATTTTGTAGTTCGGGTGAACTCCAAGTTTGTGAGTTTGGTAGTCTTACCAAACCAGTCCCTTTATTTTGTTATGCATGAGAAAATGTGCCTGAGAAAATGCCGTATAACAAAGCTATCTGTTCATTGTCATTTCAATGAACCCTTGTGTCATTTTAACCCCAAGCATCAAAGACTTGCTCGCTCGGGCTTGTTGTGGATGCTATGTTGTTGCCCCTGGAATTTAAATGAATGTAAAGAAATACAGCTTTGGATATGGCTCTGTGTGTCCTAAAAACCTTCCCCATTCTGTCAATCATCTTTACACCTGTGTACAATCCTGTAGTCCCTCCCCACTTTACGATGGATGGTATAATTGGCTACAGTGACAGTAGAATGCACAGTCATGAGACCCTAATCCTACTTTCTGATTGGCCAGCTCTGACGCCGTCGGCTCCATTGGCCCTGATGCCGCCCCCACCCACAGGGTCCTCCCAGCCACTGACGGTGTCGCGGCTACAGATGCAGATCCACCTTCATGGCCTGCAGCAGAACACCAGCGAGCTGCGCAAACAACTGTCCCAGCTGCGCAACATCCAGGTCAGCACCAGAGAACACACACACACACACCACACACACACACACACACACACACACGCACACACACACACACACACACACACACACACACACACACACACACACACACACACACACACACACACACACACACACACATTCCTCAAGGCACTGTTTGTTTTTACATGTGTTTATGTATCAATCACTGCTCTTGCTAGTATCACTGCTCTTTATTAAGCTTTACATATCAGCCTTGAGGCCTTAGTCAGAGCTTTGTGTGTGTAGACTTGACGTTGTGCTTGTTTGACTTATGCTTGTTTGACGTATTGTCTAAGTGTGTGTGTGTCCCAATAACATGTATTTGGGTCTGTCCATGTCTCCCCTCCCAGTTGGAGAACCAGGACTCAGTGCAGTCCCTGCTGAGGCAGACTGAGTCAGAGCTGAGCCTTATGATGCTGGATGCCATGCGGACCCAGGAGGACCCTTTGCAGAGGCAGCGCCTCCTAGTGGAGGAGGAGAGACTCAAGTACCTCAACCAGGAAGAGCTGCTCATCCAGCAGCTGCAGTGAGTTTAGCCTTTAAGTCAGGGTCTCTAACTCAAGATAGGGTCAGTGTGAATGAAGAAATAGTGCAAACTGCTCAGATAGAAAAAAGCTGAATGTGTGTTGAGCTGGAACCATGCAGTGCCTGCATACTTGGTGGACACTTTGTTGTTATGCTAGACTGATGTCATTTTTTGGTGTCCACAGCGATCTGGAGAAGTCAGTAGAAGAACTCCAGAGGAACTCATCAGTCAACCACGGCCTGGTGACAGAGAAGGAAGTGGAGCAGAAGAGCATGGAGCTAAGGTCTTTGGGAGAGACCCTCACAGAGCTCAAGAGTAAGCATATAGCGGATAACGATACAGGAAGATACAACAATGAGGCCATTAGCTGTGTGAAAGTCTGCTATGTTTGGATGGAATAAAATTAACCCCTCATATAATTACCTTCATAGATAATTGCAACAAGGACAAAATAGTGACAGTGATTAGGCAGGTGAATGTCCCTAATAGGAGAGTCTTATTAAGAAAGATGTGCTAGAACATGCAGATGTTGTCACGTGTAGCATCATAGCTAAAAACCACACAGTAGAACGAGATGCTTGTTTAACAACTAATGTGATACGAGCCTTTTGTGCACCTAAATTACCCTGAAATCATTTCTCCACGCAGTAGCTGAACCACAGGGGGCAGAGAGTACAGCAAGCCCTGGCAGAGAGCATGACAGGAGACACAGACACTGCATGACTGTTTTACAAACAAGCATGGATATATCCTCTTTCCCTCTCCCATTAATTTAATTATGCTCCTCCCTCCCTCCCTCCCTCCCTCCCTCCCTCCAGACCAGTTCCCCAGTCTGCAGAGTAAGATGCGCGTGGTGTTGAGGGTGGAAGTGGAGGCTGTGAAGTTCCTGAAGGAGGAGCCACACAGACTGGACGCACTGTTGAAACGCTGTAACAACATGACCGATACACTGACCACACTACGCAGGTATGGTTGAACACAACACAATATACGCTATATAAACCGTGTTGTTACGTTGTTGTTCAATTGTTATAACCTGTTGTTACGAGGGCCCCATTCAACTGGTGACTTGGTTTTCAAGATAAGCAAAAATTATGCTCTTTCAATACAACATGAAAGCATGTTCATATCTAAAACTTTTTGCAGCAGATGAAAAATATGTTTCTTTGACTGATCCCAGAAACCTGGTCACCAGGATAGATGCAATAGGGCCCTGATAGTGCTGTGTGTGTTGTTAGTGTATTGTATGCCACCTGTACGTACAGAAAAGTGACCGAGGGCCTGTGGAAGGGCCAGAATGACATCTCCAGCCAGTCAGCCAAGCGAACTGAGCACACAGGAAAGAGCTCGGACCTCGACATACTGACCAGTCCACCACTCAACCTCAATGACCTGGATGGCAGTGCCAGCCTTGCCAACTGGATGCCCGTATCAGGCAGTGACCCAGACGCTTCGGGTCCTGAGCAGGACCCCCACCCTATGGCCAGCTACAGAAGCCGGGTCCTGGACGAGCTGCCAAGCCGCCGCGGTGCTGGCAAATCAGTGTCTGCGGAGGTCAGACTGGTACGGAAAACCCCTCCTGTATTTTTTTACATTCTATATAATCCCCCTCACAATGCTAAATGTACACTTTTACTGGGGAATCTGTACATTTACCAGTGTGAACATCTCCCTGGAAATATATACATTTTACAAATTTCCCCTATCATCCATAGTATATCCGTGTACATTTCCGCAATATAATTCCAATATACAGTATTTGGGATGACAAATATGTGTGGTTGTATAGGCTGCAGAGCGGGATTGGGAGGAGAAGCGGGCTAGTCTGACCCAGTTCAGTGCCCAGGACATCAACCGTCTGCTGGAGGAGACCCAGGCTGAGCTGATGAAGGCCATCCCAGACCTGGACTTCGCTGCCAGGCAGATCAATAAGCCTGCTGTGCCCCCCAAACCCCACCCCAAACCTCAGTTCACCACCCCCATCACTACCTCCACCACCACCTCCACCACCACTAGCACCACCACTAGTTCCAGTACTGAGCACCAGCCCAACAAGGTCCAGGTCACTGGCCAGAAGCTGGAGGGGGGCTCACATCGCGGATCTGGTGAGACTGAATACCACATCCACGTTCTAATATATACAGTGCCTTGCAAAAGTATTCATCCCCCTTGGCGTGTTTCCTGTTTTGTTGCATTACAACCTGTAATTTAAATGGATTTTTATTTGGATTTCATGCAATGGACATACACAAAATAGTCCAAATTGGTGAAGTGAAATTAAAAAAATAACTTGTTTCAAAAGATTATACAAAATAAATAACAGAAAAGGGATGTTTGCATATGTATTCACCCCCTTTGCTATGAAGCCCCTAAATAAGATCTGGTGCAACCAATTACCTTCAGAAGTCACATAATTAGTTAAATAAAGTCCACCTGTGTGCAATCTAAGTGTCACATGATCTCAGTATATATACACCTGTTCTGAAAGGCCCCAGAGTCTGCAACACCACTAAGCAAGGGGCACCACCAAACAAGCGGCACTATGAAGACCAAAGAGCTCTCCAAACAGGTCAGGGACAAAGTTGTGGAGAAGTACAGATCAGGGTTGGGTTATAAAAAAATATCAGAAACTTTGAACATCCCACAGAGCACCATTAAATCCATTATTTAAAAATTGAACGAATATGGCACCACAACAAACCTGCCAAGAGTGGGCTGCACACCAAAACTCATGGACCCTGCAAGGAGGGCACTAATCAGAGGCAACAAAGAGACCAAAGATAACCCTGAAGGAGCTGCAAAGCTCCACAGCGGAGATTGGAGTATCTGTCCATAGGACCACTTTAAGCCGTACACTCCACAGAGCTGGGCTTTATGGAAGAGTGGCCAGAAAAAAGCCATTGCTTAAAGAAAAAAATAAGCAAACACGTTTGGTGTTCACCAAAAGGCATATGGGAGACTCCCCAAACATTTGGAAGAAGGTACTCTGGTCAGATGAGACTAAAATTGAGCTTTTTGGCCATCAAGGGAAACGCTATGTCTGGCGCAAACCCAACACCTCTCATCACCCCAAGAACACCATCCCCACAGTGACAGTGAAGCATGGTGGTGGCAGCATCATGCTGTGGGGATGTCTTTCATTGGCAGGGACTGGGAAACTGGTCAGAATTGAAGGAATGATGGATGGCACTAAATACAGGGAAATTCTTGAGGGAAACCTGTTTCAGTCTTCCAGAGATTTGAGACTGGGACGGAGGTTCACCTTCCAGCAGGACAATGACCCTAAGCGTACTGCTAATGCAACACTCGAGTGGTTTAAGGGGAAACATTTAAAAGTCTTGGAATGGCCTATTCAAAGCCCAGACTTCAATCCAATTGAGAATCTGTAGTATGACTTAAAAATTGCTGTACACCAGCGGAACCCATCCAACTTGAAGGAGCTGGAGCAGTTTTGCCTTGAAGAATGGGCAAAAATCCCAGTGGCTAGATGTGCCAAGCTTATAGAGACATACCCCAGGAGACTTGCAGCTGTAATTGCTGCAAAAGGTGGCTCTACAAAGTATTGACTTTGGGGGGTTGAATAGTTATGCACGCTCAAGTTTTCTGTTTTTTTGTCTTACAGTTTAAAACTTTATGAGAAATAGCCATTATTTACTATTTTACACTTAGGGTTACTATACATGATTTTAATCCATTTTATAAGAGATTCTCCAAAATTGAAATGCTCTAGGCTTTTATATATAAACTCCAGTCGTACTTTATCAAAATCCTTTTCAAAGTCAGCTATGAATAGCAGGCCTGGTTTCCCAGATTTTTCATAGTGTTCTATTGTTTCCAATACTTGCCTTATATTATCTCCAATGTATCGTCCATGTAAAAAACCTGTCTGATTAGAATGAATAATGTCCGACAATACCTTTTTTATTCTATGTGCTATACATTTTGCTAGCATTTTTGCATCACAACACTGAAGTGTAACCCAATTTTTTAATGGACAGGGTCTTTATATTTCCCACTTGTATCCTGTTTCAGTAATAATGAAATCAGACCTTCAATATTTGTGTTTTAGTTATGACTGAGCTGTCCTATAAAGATATGATATCATTGTATGTTTTAGCGGAGCTGACCGTTACCAGGTATCGTGCTGAGAAACCCTCTAAGTCTCCGCCTCCACCCCCTCCTCGCCGCAGCTTCCCATCAGCCCATGGGCTCACCACCAATCGCAATGGAGAAGTGATCGTCACCACCAAGAAGGTACAGTAAGAGAGAGATGGCTGAGAAAGAAATACCTGCAAAGTACGAAAGTACACATTAATATTTTTTGAAGATAGGCTATTTGGATGTATGGATGTTATAAAGATCTGTCACATAGACATGTTGCCAACCCTGTTTGTTTTTATAAGAAGCTGGAGCCAGAAGACGGAGAGGCGCTGAAGACTCTGGTCAAGCTGAGAAGGACACCGTCTGACACCCTCCGCCCCGCCTCAACTCCCCCCGTCATCGCCGCCTCAGCGATTAAAGATGAGGATGACGAAGAGAGGATCATTGCTGAACTAGAGGTAGGAGTCTTTTTTTTCTTTAATGCAATTTACAATGTGTTACACTGGTGCAAAATTGTATACCTTGAGTAGCTGCATACAAAATGTATGAGAATATGACATACGGTATGTATTTTGTTCGTTGCAGTCGATGTTCGGTGTGCCTTAGCAATGTGATAACATTGTCTCTGCGACACTCTCCCACACGACACCCTTCACCACCCACCACACACCACCTGACAGATATTTCAGCGAACCACTGTCAAAGTGTCCCCTCCCCACTCACTGCCCAGCACGCTACCGAGGCCCACCCCTGCAGCCCGTACCCTTCCTTGCACCTCAGGCTCCCTGGGAATAAAGGTAAACCTTAAGCCCCCCAAAATGCTCTCTCGTTTTGCAGTGTCTGCGGCCCTACTTCTTACTCTGTCTCCTGTCCTCTCCTCCTCTTTCAGTCACTGCTGTTCCACTGCACTTGTTTCTTAGAGGGCCACTAACATGCCTGTTGATCATGGAGATTCTCCTCTAATTCTGCTTGATGCAGAAGTTCTCTGGGCTGAAAACACGTCATAGTGCTTCTCTTCTCTTATTCGACCACCAAACATCTACTGTCTAATTCCATTCAATCTAACTCCCCTGTCTAACTTCGCTAATGACTCCCCCCCTCGCTAATTCCACTGACTGCATTCTACATTCTGATCTGCATTCAGTATTCTAAATAAGCTGTGCTCTAATTCTCTAACAAACTAACTGACAGTCCTGGTTTCTGGAGTGCATATTGGAATTACATGCGTACTGCATGGATTGTGTTAATGTGGAATCATGTATTTAAATTCAAGGTTTAGCTGACAGACTAAGGCAAGTGTCAGAACTCTCTTGCTGCTCAAATGACACATTTATCTCTGTCGAAGGTCTTGTTTTATCGCTCCCAGATCAAAACAAGACTCAGCTCACTAGGGAAGCTGTCAAAACAGCGGTGGTACAGCCGGTTTCAGGTGAACAGCTCCGCACTACTGACAGAAATTGATCTGCTGGATTTGGACCAACTTTCAAAACCCAAACCCTTATATGGCAAAACTGATCAGCTCCAGTGAGACTCTCTGCACCCAAAATGGCATCCTATTTCCTATATTGGTCACTGCTTAGGGCTCTAGCCAAAATGTCATCTCAGATTTGACCATAACCTTCTTCATGCTCTTTGTCCTTCTGTAGAATGCGAGCAACTCACCAGGGGCATCCAAGGGACCCCAGTCAACTGTAGCGGCTAGACTGAAGCACCTCCAGCAAGGCAGCCTGGAGAGGCCCAAGACCAGGAAGCAGAGAGAGGACTTCCCCAAGATCCAGGGCCAGCAGCAGGTATTCCACTTCTAGAATGCCCCTCCTCAGAGGAGTAGCCCTCTTCAGAACAGCTCTGGTGGCCTGTGACATTGACAACTGCCCCCTCTCACAGCTGTCTGGGCAACTACTATACTGGGATACAATATGTTATCAGTGGACAATAAGGTGACGAGAAAAGGGTTGGGCTCATCGGAAATCACCAATGTTGGTTGTTACATTATTTGACTTTGAGCTGTGGTTGGATCCAAAATGGATTGTGTACAGAGCGTACTCTTTCCCATTGGCTGGCATTGATGTTTCTGAGGAGGGTAAGGTAGTGGAGGTATTGTGCACTTAATAAGCTAAGTGACACCTAAACTGCACTCCTTGATTATGCCACAAAATAGTTTTACATCTCAATGTCGAACCACTGACTTTTAACCAAGTAGATTATGATCCTACAGTACCACTGTTCTTTGACTCTGCTTCCTTTCCTCAAATCACTAAATCATTCTGTCTCCAGCTGAGTCATTTAAAACCACTGTCCAAAAGCGAGAGGGTCAGGAGATGGAAAAGTAATAATTCTCAGAATATTTGCCCTTGTGCAGCACACCTCCAACGTTTCTCTGGAGCAAATAAGACTGAAGTCCTCCTCCCTCCTCTCTGAAGCAGCAGTCTTACCTGGTTCAGCAGGCACTCCAACTTAGTAGGCTGATCTGAGTGGCCCTGTCCCACCTTAGCCCAAACTGTCCCTCTCAAAGGACCTTCTGGCAGCTCTCAAAGTCAGGTAGAGATAACACAGAAAGCCACTCCGTCCCAGCTAGGACCTGTCCTGAGCCAGTCAACCCAATCCTTGCATTACCCTAACGGGGATAATCCACACTCCATTAGCTAACTAAAATAGAGGCCACTTCATTTGAACTCTAAGAAACAGGACCCATGTGGTGCTCTTTAGGCTTAGGGGGTCTATTCACGGGTTATTGGAGTTAAAAAGACTACCCTTTGGACTGAAAAACGCCCCCAAAATATTGCCATGGTTCAACTCGCTTAGGATGGCTGGATTGATGCACTTCTACATGCATATTTGATCAGATCTTAAAGGTTTTTACCTTGTGTGGGGCAAATTCATCTCATCCACCACCAAAGCTGTAACCACATCCATTTTGGTAAAGCACAAGGTTTGCGCCAGAACACAAACCATACCTCACTCTTTGGGGTGAAGGGGATAGGAGTCAGAAACCACTTGCAATATGTGTAAAAACACAAAAGTATCATACAAGTGCAGAAGATGACTTCCCAGATAGGTCAGTGCACTTCACAACAATTCCCATTAGCGAATACAGTAGTTAGCACATGGCTAAACCTCTATTTGACACTGGAGAAATACACCCCAAGCATTAGTATTCATGTCTATTTCCAACCTGGTCTCAGAGCATTTTGTATTATTCTGTACATAAACCCAAGACACTCCATTTAGTATGATATGTTACGTTTCGTATGGTAAATCAAATCAAATCAAATTTGATTGGTCGCATAAACATATTTAGCAGACGTTATTGTGGATGTAGCAAAATGCTTATTTTCCTAGCTCCAACAGTGCAGTAATATCTAGCAATACAAAAAGTGCAAATCTAAAAAGTTGGTATGTATTCATTTGTGGATGTCCATCATCCATTTCGTATGATATGTTACGAATTGTGGTTACGGTTAGGGTTAGGGGAAGCGTTAGCTAACATGCTAAGTTGTTGCAAAGTTGCTAATTAGCTAAAATGCTAAAGTTGTCCGTGATGAAATTCGAACACGCAGCCTTTGGATTGCTAGACATTCGCGTTATACGCCCACCCATCCACCCCGACCAACCACCCTCCTTTCGTTTTTGCCTTAAGTAACCTTCTGTCTTATGTAACCATACCAAACGTAACATATCATACTAATTTGAGGGTCCCTGATTTATATTTACTCATTTCAATCTAGTCTATGAGACCAGGCTGCTATTTATGCTGTTTGCTGGAAATCACTCAATCGTGTGAGATTGTGTATGCCTCCTAGTGTACCTTCCTTCCCCATCTCCCTTTTGTCATGATGTCAGATACGCCCTCTGAGTCTGCGGATGACATTTATTAGGGTCATTACACTGTGCAAATGTTTTTGTGCAGATTACGCTCATTGCAAGACTGAGTCCTCTCATGGTGCTGATGTATTTTATTAAATGTCTGACCTGACATTTAGTTCAATGTATGATGTTTGTAGCATACAGTAATATATATCTAGGCAACTGGGTCAGTAAAATGTAGTAACCTGTCTGTGATCAAACAAACAAAAGACCTGTTGAATTTAAACTATATGTTTAACATATGCAAATATTATGAATGAATGTGTTGGAGTCAGTTGAATATATTGGACATACATGCATCTATGTGACCTGTATGTACAGTGTGGGTAAAATAAAACCCCATGGGTAGGCTATTTTGTGTACTGTAATGCATCATGTTAGGTTAATTATTTCAACAATACAAGACTGCTTCAGACATGAACCAATGAGGTCATTTTGAACCAATAGGATTTAACCAAGACTGTACCACAGAGTAACCTTGTTTTTTCCCCTTTATTTTATCCTGAGGGGAAAATGTGCACAAGCTGAAAAATTGTTAACATCAACAAAAGTGAAGTTTGTGTGTGCACAACATATGAATGCCTAGGGGTTATCTGATTTTAAAAAAAGGCTTAGTTGGCATTCTTCTATTTGATATCTTAGTCCAGTGCCTGAGGACATTGTGTGGACATGCACTCCACACAGTGCTATAGCTACATTCACTGTTTCAATACCTGTCCAGAAGGAATGCCAACAGGCAATGACCAGGTGCTATCCTTTATATCTCTCCTGAGTAGGTGGACTTTTTGTTTGCCCCTGAATGGATGATTTTGGCATTAATGCCTTTTTCATGATCCAATATGAATTAGAATTATCTGGGGAATGGAGGCTCTCGTGTCTTCTGTGGGTGATGGTGCACCTGTCTGTTCATGTCCTTGTAAAGGATATTTGTGAAACAGGCTCCAAGAGCTACAGATGTACCGGTGTCCCTCGAGGCAAAGATGAGGATCATGTCACAAGATACTTTTCCCTTTTAATTTTACTCTAGCTGATGTAAACTATCCTTTCCCATCCTTTTTAACCCTTGAATGCTTCAGTTGAAAAGACCCAAAATATCATTTGCTGTACCACTTTTTAACCTGTTCTCAGGACATTTTGTAGGATTTGGTACGTACATCTGTTAAGTCCAGATAGTATAATATGTTATGTTACTTTTGGTTACATTATGAATGGAATGGCGGTCCTACAATATCATACAAATTAGAGGATGTACAGTACGTCTTACCTGGTCGTACAATAGCATACGAGTTGGATAAAGTATTTATCATACATCTTGCAGGACGTATAGTATTATATGTCTTTCTCTGAGACCAGGTTGCTTGTCGTGTTGGAACAACAAAGGAGAATTACGGGGAGAATTTATGTTGGTGGTTAGGAGAACTAACGTCAAAGGTTAGCATAATTTCCGCAAATGTTTAGGAGAACTAAAATGACAAAGGTTAGGAGAATTTACGTAGCAGGTTACATTAATAGGGTTAAGGTTAGTGTGGTATCGCGTCGAATGCTGGTGGGTATTGCTGTCAATCAAAGAATCCACTTAGGCTGCACCGTGTTTTAGAGGCTTTTATTAATATCACGATGTTACAGCATAAGTTACAGACCCGCGCAGTCTGGAGAAGCCGTCCCAAATGAATCTCAATGCTTTCTGACCCTCCTTCGTTTTTCCCCCAGTATATATAAACTCCCAAGATGTGGGTGGCTCCCCCTACTGTCCAATCCCCTGTCTACAACACACTTCCTGTCTGTTGTATGTGGCGTTACACTAAAACATTCCCTCTTGATACTAAAATCAACATTCTTTCAGTTAAACATTTAACAACGTCATAATCTCAATACACGACATTAGAATTAGGGTTAGGGGAAGAGTTAGCTCAAATGCTACAGTTGTCCCCGATGCGACTCGAAAATGCAACCTTTGGATTGCTAGACGGTCACGGAATACGCCCAACCATCCTACCCAACCAACCTCCCTACTTTCGTTTCTGTCTAAAGTAACTAGACCATTAGTACATATCGTATGTTTTGAGTGGTGCTCAGAAATTCGTATAGTATATTCAAATTAAATCAAATCAAATGTTATTGGTCACATACACATATTTAGCAGATGTTATTGCGGGTGGCTCTGCGGCTCAGAGTCCAGGCTGCACTTCTTGCCCCTAGCTCTCCTTCCACAATTACAAATTGCCCCTCCCTCTCCCCACATTGAATGTCCTGAATGGACATATCTATAACCTCCATGCCCCATGTAGACCAAAGCTAGTGTAGTCATCTAATGCTCTTCATCCCACCCAGTCTATCACACTGTGAGCAGTGGGCCTTCCAAGGACACACCCCAGCCCCATCTATCATGAGGAGAATACAGCCAGAATATAGATGACATTGATCTAAAGCTGCATCAGTGCAACCAGCTCTCTTGGCATCCTTAAAGGCATGCCTCTCCTCTCTTCTCCTACCTCCCCTTTGTCTATGCTCTTGGCTTAATAGGAAGTCTGCGTCGTTAATCTTGGGCTTTTGTCTTGTTTCTCCCCGTAACCCTTTTGCCCCGTTGAACGGTTGGACGTGTAAACCAATGTGGCAGCGTTGTGGGGGCCCTTAGACATCTAATCGGAGGGGGAAATCTCTTGTTCGCTAAAGGCCAAGGCAATTAATTAGCATTGGCATCAAATTGCACTTGATGATGTGTCCAAATGTGTCAGCGAGAGAGGCTCAGCGCCGGCTTTTCTCTCTTTGGGTTTGTTTGTTTGGGTCTCCAAGGCTCTATGGAGAAGCCCCTGTAGGTGCAAAGTGACGGGAGGATAATTCAGATCCGTTCATTTAGTCTGGGAGGCAGCCCACTGTCTGGACAAAGAAAGCATCTTAACTGTTTCAGACATGACCAATTCATTGAAAATGTGTGTTGTTTCGGGGTGAGAATGGTCTGGTTGATCCTAACAGCCAATAGTAGATTTGGGTTTTAGCCCTATATGTGTCCAAACTAGCCAGGAGCCGAGGGCAAAAGTACAAACCAAAACGTCATTGACCAATCACAGAGCAAGAATGTATGCCTAGGGTTAACCAGGGTGAAAGCAGAGTTCAGCCTTCACTTATACATATCATATAACTTGAGGAAACCTATTATCCTGTACTCAGAATATAGCTCCTCCATTACCTACTCCTATTCCTATCCTTCTCTACCTCTTCCTCTCTTCTTCTGAAATCTCAATCCTTATTTCCTCTCCTCTTCTCGATTCACCCCTCCCTCTCCTCTCTTCTCCCAACTCCCCTTCCTCTCCTCTCCACTGTGGAGAGGCTGAATCAGGACAGATTGCCCGTCCTCAAGTCCTGACAGCAGTGCAGTACTGATCACAGCATCACTTCCCCAGTTTTGCCTATGCTCTGCTTAGCGACAGCCACATGGCCCAGATCTTGACACGAGCGCGACGACACCAAACACAGCATCCCCTGTGGCCAGTCAGGGGAAATACACTGAAGCATAGCACCCCATGTGACCACATAGATGTAAGATGTAAGACAGCCAATGACCAAGACAGTAGCTCTTGACCTTTGTATGTCTCTATCTGGAAGGGGTCACCAAATAAGTGCAAAGAACAGGGAAAACAAATGTGATTTTAAAACACAATTGAAACCCTTAAGAAGTATGAGAATGCAAAGGAAAAAGCTGCAGACTGCCTTTTCACAGCCACCCTATTGCATTTGGTTAGGTTAGGAGCTGAGATAGAGATCATGTGAGCAATGTTCTCTCTTTTTCCAGGTCTGAGGGCAACTGCTTTATATCCTCTGCTATCATGGTCAGTATGAGTACTGGGATAAACACTGGAGGTAATATGGTGGACAGCAAGATTCAGCACAGGATCCCACTTCTGACACCAAATGTTGCAAATTGAACACATATTGATCCTGAAATCCTAAAGTAAACACTGGTATTCTATCCATAATGTGAAAGGTTCTGGACTTATTAGCACAGTTTTATACACTAGCCAGCATTGTCATCATTGCCACAGCAATATGAAGATTTCCATCCAGAGATTTGATGCGCGACTGAAAAAAATAAAATGAATGTACCACTCCACAAAATGCAAGTCAGATAATCCCACAGAAACGTTATGTGCTGTCTGAAGCTTCTGGAGGAAAGTGTCAAAATATTGCCACGGAAGCTCTCTGTGCACGAATATATACCACTGGCACAAAAAAATATACATAACTGGAGATGAAACAGCACCTTGTAAATCATAGACATTAATTAAATATAGAAATAAGAGCTAATATGAAAATAAAGACCACATAATTAACCTCAGAATAATCTAAATCATATCAGATATACTGTATTGTGAGAAAATAGTATACTACCCGATAGTTATTGTTTGCAGAGATTATATAATGTACAAAATGAAATCTTCATCTATGTTTTATATAATCAAGACTGTATTTTTATACTTGAAAAGAGGATTCATAACCACATTTTGAACATGTATTCTGTAAATGAGTTTATGTTGTGTGTTTTGTTTTGTGTTCAATTGCCATCGTTTTGGTTCCTTACTACATACTTAGACCATTGAACAAATTGTTAGTATCATTTCTTGTCATAGATTAATATGGTTCATTTGCAGGATACAAAGAACACATGCAGTGACATTTGTGAAAGATCGGAAACTTTTGGGAGGCTTGTTTGGGAAACAATAGAAATCAATGATGAAGGGTTGTGAACTACTTAAAGTAGCACTACACTCAGCTGGCACGGATAGAGGGAGAGGGAACGAAAGAAATAGAGACCCAGAGCACATTTACTCATCCCTCTTTACAAGTACTCACTGATGACTACCCACAACTGTCTTCCTCTATCGTAATCAAAAGTAAACAATATAGTATGTACAATATGGTTTCTTGATGAATGTGTGGTTGTTTAAAGTAGTCTGTGGGTGTTATAAATCATGTACATAGACCGAAAATATGTTACTTATATGGATTTTTATGTGAGAGAAACGTAATCCAAACAGCATGCACATACTGTACATTCCTGGAATTTGCACGCTGGGTCAACAAAAGGTTATGTTACTTCTGTCAATAACTCTACTCTATGTATAACTGTTAGTGTATATTAGATTAAACATTGTACAGGACAATAGATTTTGTATCATGTGCAACAGGGTCAGTCAAAACTAATTTTACTGTCAACGTAAATGTAAAGAAAAAGAGATTAAAATATTGTAGAGTAACTACTCTTCCTTTATTCTGAGAGTGATTCTTGCTGTGTGTGTGAGATAAGTGTTGTTTATGAGTACTGAAGAAGAATGACAGTAAAACAGAATGCTAAAGACCAACTAACAGTGCAAATGCTATGCCAATTCTACATATTGAAAGAACTGTTGCTGCTTTTTGTGAGAAGATCAACTATGGCACTTAACAAAGACTGCTGCTTTTGTACCTGTCTGTTTTGTTTTTTGTGACAATAAAAGTGAACCTCTTATACAAGAAAGTATTTGATTCAAATTCATTCAGTGTCTGAAAAGAACTCCAAACCAATTTCATGTTTCATGACTCTGATATTATAAAGTATCAGACAATCACAATATAAAATATTTATTAGTTCAAACCCAAAATAGTGAAACAAAGAAAGGGTTATCCATACAAATATTTTTAATATAATACAAATCTTGTTCTAAGCTCCATCCTGAGCTGTTGTAATCCTACTAGTCCTAGGACAGACAGACAGGTCAATATGCCTTTACACCAGATACAGCAGTTATTGGGTTTGACAGTTTGCAGCCATCTGAGTACCACAAATAGAATAAACTATTAATTATGAAACACAAATGTAGAGTCTTGCCTAGCTTTCACTAATTGTTACTGTATGTACACTGTCCCAGTGCTCAACCTCCCATACACATGTCCAAAAGCTCTAATGAAGATTGCAGAGAATGATGGTGATTCTCATTTAAATCACGCCGTTGAACTATAAAGTCCATCCATGGCCAAGCCCTTACTCTATTAACATTATGTAGAAATAGGAAGTGTTTACTTAAGCGTTGCGTCGTGCATAAGAACAGCCCTTAGCTGTGGTATATTGGCCATATATCACAAACCCCAGAGGTGCCTTATTGCTATTATAAACTTTGTCATACCCATGTTATACGGTCTGATATACCACGTCTTTTAGCCAATCAGCATTCAGGGCTCGAACCACCAAGTTTATAATGAGAAATGGAGTGTATTTACTGTAGGTGTTTGTTGTGGATCAGAGAGGTATTAGGAAACAGCACCTCACAGTCTAATATACCTAAAGCTCTGCTTAGAGGGCAGGCAGTCAAAAGTGAGGTTTGCTGTGGGTAGAACCACAGGTAGAACCAATCACCTGCCATACTGGGCTAAGCCTAGGGGAGCTATTTCAAGTTTGTGTGCACTCTATATCAATTCGATTTGGGTGATGCTTTGAATGGAGAATGTGTGTGTGTATGTGTTTGTGTGTAAGCGTGCATGCATGTGTTTGTAGTGTTTCACAGGGAGATATCGGAGGAGATTTGGAGCTTCTGTCTGGGCTTCCATTTGGCGCTGACTCGGGACCCGTCTGTCCGTCTGTACGGCTGGTTCCTCAGGTCTAGCATGGGAGATGATGGATAACAACAACACTGTGAGACCACAACATGCGAACTGGTCTAAACATGCTTTTGTACTGACACTGCCACTAAACCTTAGACAGACAGACAGACAGACAACTGCACCAAGAGACAGAGAGATCCACAGACAGAGAAACACAGTGCTACACTCTAGTGGTGTGCATAGGAGACATAGACATCTCCAGAGACAGAGAGCAAGCGAAAGAGAGACCTACACAATTCTGAGGGGACTATGTAGGGCTCTCATCACTGAAGCCAGAGTCGCAGAAGAGGCGAGAGGAGCGCTTGCCAGAGCGAGCCGTGAAGGGCACAGCCTTTAAAGCTGAAAACCCCAGAGAGAGAGAGAAAGAAAGGGAGAAGAGGGTGACGGAAAGACATAACCAAGGGTGAGGAGAGATATGCACAGGGGAATGAGTGGGAATTACATGAAAAAAGGAGTGAAAAAGGGAGTGAAGGGAGAAGATGAATGTGGATGTGACAGAGACAACAGGATAATGTAGGTGGTGGTGGATATTGCATGACGACAGTTAGTGATCATGTATTTGTGGAAATGGAAAAAGGGTACAGAAAAACAAGCGTTATAATACTGTACATGTCAACAAGAGTATATCACAACTACAGCTTTATATCCAGTATATTAGACCTATATAGCAGACATACACTGTACTGGAGACCTCAACCCATTATCCCTGACCCCACCAGGCCCACCTGTGATGATGTCCTCGATGGTGCCATCCTTGCCCTCCCGAACCAGGGGGGTCACCTGCCGCCTTTTCAGCTCCGCTATCAGATCCATTTGGGGCATCTTGGGCATCATGAGTACCTGCTGGGGGTGGGGGGTGGGGGGGGGGGGGGGGGTCAAAGGGCAGCCAAAAAGAGTTGGGGTCTAAATTATACATGTGATGAGGGTAAGTGGAGTGGGTCAACTCTCCCTGTGTCTTATTGCTCCTACGTGGTTGGTAATGTGTCACGGACTACCTTCTGTGCTATTTCAGGCTTAGGCGAGGTCAACGGTTGTCCAGTTTTCCATTCGCTGGACAACACATCCTGCTTTCTCCTCTGCTCATTCTCCTGCTCTGCTTGCTGCCGGTGGGGAGGGAGAGAAAGACATTTGTGATCATTTATGTATGGCGCACTGTCACATTAATGCAACAGTTACTGTTTGATGTGTGGCAAAGAGCTCAGCTCGTCTATGTTGATACATTAGCGTACTTACGTTTTAATAGTTGGCTATATGACAAGTACTGTATGAATGATTAAATATATTGAATCAATTACAAATGTAATTAGTCAATGTGGTGACTAACCTTATATGCCTTGATGAACCTAACAAAGACGGGGAAGAACATGGAGGGAGGTGTGGTTTTAGGGTTCTCTCCAAAGTACTCCACCGCTGATTGATACACATCCTAACATGAGAAACATTAATCATACCTCCATTACACTGTGCCTCACTGCTTTCTGTAGCAGTACTTGTGTTTTACAAATATTATTAGCCTCTCCTAAATTAATTTAGTCTAGTGTCATAAAACCGTTACTAGGTTAGCCCCATATAGTAGGCTGTACATTTTGCCACACTGATTGTAGATTTTTTATATATATTTAGTAGTGAGATTTGACCTGGGCTGTCTTGCCATCTCCTACTACAGAGTCCAGCAGGTCATTGTTGCTGGTGAGGAACTCCTGCAACACAGGGTTGTCTTCCTGTATGGCAAACTCCTTCCGGGTCACCTCCATGCCCCTCTCCAGGGCACGCACGTCCTGCAGAATGCTGTCCAGGGACACCAGAGCAGCCTTGTCCAAAAAGTGCAGCTCACTGTGGAACGCTTGGAGCTCAGGGTATTTCTCCTGGATGATGTTCACTATGAAGTGAAGCAGAGTCTGTCTCCGGTCTGTGGACTTGGTGTCTAACAGCTAGATTGAATAAAAATAAATAAATAAAGTTGCACACGCTATACAGTATATGCTCCAAACAATTTAATGGGTAAACCTAATAACCAAAGTTTTGGCAATGTGGGGCCTTCTTAAAGGTCAAATGCAGCTGTTTTTATCTAAATATCAAATCATTTCTGGGAACAGTTAAGTACCTTACTGGATTGTCTTCAATTAAAATTGTGAAAAAGAAACAAAGATAGCTTCTTAACAAAGAGCAATTTCTCAAGCAAGAATTTAGTTAGGACTGCTTGGGAGTGGTCTGAGTGGGGAGGGGAAAACGGAAAACTAGCTGTTATTGGCAGAGAAGTTTGGAACTCTCTTTCTTATTGGTCTATTAACTAATTTACCACCGTCACCAGGCAGGCCAAAACTCCATCCTACCAAAACAGGAACATTTCAGGCGGTCTTTTCAAACAGCTCTTACACTAAAAGGGTATTATAATCATTTTCACAACGTCACAGTATTATTCCAACCTCATAGTGTGGAAAAATATATAAAACACAGGAAAATCACGTTTTTGACTGCACTGGGCCTTTAAGGGTTGACAGCTAGATTAAACCAGAGCCATACTTAGAGGGAACCAATGGAGAAAAGGATACAATGTGAAAAGGTTAGCATGATCCCAGATCTGTATTTGCTTTATGACAGTGGTAGTCAGAGGGGTTGGCGATAGCACATACAGATCTGGGATCAGATAATCAAGGGATACAGCACCCCATCAAAATGAGAAATACAGTGTGATCAAGAGCAAAGGTGTCAAATCCTGATGATGCAGTTGTTACTCGTCTCCAATTAAATCAATTTTGACATTAATTGATGATTTGGGTAACTCTGCCTGTCATTGATTATCTTCAGCAATCATTGTGAGTTGAGACACATCCTCCACAGCTCCACCTTACTGTTCTAGTCATTCAGTCACTGTGGCTAATTCAGAGTAGGCCTGTCAGAATCGGTTATCTATGGATCTCTCACTGAGGTGGAATCCCATTTGAATAATTACTGTAGATAATCAATTAGATGCTGTGCTAAAATGACATTCTGCTAACCCAAGTGAATCTTCTGGACTAGGGTTGGAGTACAAAACCGATGTGCCTCGTTGTAGGAAAAGGAACAGAAAATGTGCCTCTAACATTTGGTTCATAAATATGTATGCTTTATGTTTGAAGTCTTTCTCACCAAGTCGAGACTCTGCAGGCGGAACCCATAGGCCGCTCCTCTATTGCTGCTGTTCATGTAGTTTCCAAAGGCTAGGATGATCTTAGGGACAGAAGAGGCATACCAAAGTTACACACCAATGTTATGTAATCATACAAAACCAAACACTATGACCGCACACCATCCATGCAGTATATCAAAAGAGCAGTCTCCTAACAATACCTCAAGGATCTTCTTCAGCTTGCTAGAGGACTTGATTGACATTGAGGCAGCGATGATTGCATTGAGTTGCTGTTGGAGAGATGGGAACATATTATGGTGAATTTTGGTATTATGGTGAAGCTTTGCGCATCCAACTAGATGATAAAACATTGAAACAATCTTGAAATAACATTGAAATAACATTGTTTTCAGTATTTCTACTGACCGGCTGGATGAGCTGGATGCTCTCTGGGAAGTTGCCCATGAAGGTGAGCATACTGATGCGCTGGGGCAGGCGTGGGATCTTGCCAAAGCGTACCATGAAGCGGTCCTCCTCAGGGAGCTCATCCAGGGGCCTCCCTTCTCGCTCGTAGTTCTGGATGAGCTTGACTTCATACTCTGAGGGGATGAAACGCTCCAGCAGCTCCAGGAAGTCCAGGCTCAGAGCTTCCTGGTTATACCTGTAGGGAGGGGCAAGAGGAAGTGGATAGGGCAAGGATTATGTACAACTACTACTTCATACAGACACTCTGTTCATACTCTTAGATTATTGTAAGATGACAATAGAAGTGATTTATGAGTGTAGCGAGCCTTCACACATTTCACATTGGTTCTACGTTTATCAGTTACTATCACATGCTTAGTAAAACCAAACTAACTATATATTCCTCTCTCTGGCTGTGCATAGTCACAATACAAAAAGTTATACATTTTACATTTTGGTCATCCAGCCGCTCTCATCAAGAGCAACTTACAGTCAGTGCATTCAACTATATATAGTAGTACTACTTCTAGTCTTACGCACAAATTACATGTAGTATTATTTTCTTATAACAACTTGATAACAGACACATACGTCTCTATAGAAGTACAAATGTCTGAGGTGGCCATGCCTCCCTTGCGCAGGGTGATGGCGAGGTTCTTGGCTCTGTTCGGCTCCAGTAGGGACACTTTGCTGGGGGTCTTCTGGGCCACCTTTGCTCTCAGGGTCCTCATGTCAGCCGGGGCCATCTGGGCCTTGGTCTTAAACTGCTCCTCAAAGGCATCCATGTTTAGCTCCTAGGACATGGAGGGGAGAGGTAGATGACTCATGCAGGAGCTGTTGGTAATGTCCAAACTGTACGATTTACAGTTAAACAGGTCGTTGATTCGGCAGGAAATGTTGTCATATGACGGGAAACAGATCAGATAGAGGGAGAAATACAAAGGATTTCAGGATGAGAGAAGAAAGAGAAAAGAGAGAGCGGCTGAGACAGAGAAAGAGGGATGGAAAGATTGGAAGGAGAAGAAAGAGAAACAGCAGTCATACAGATGAGGACAGATTGAGATGGACAAGAATACAGATTGTAAGCAGATAGCTAGTAGACTACTGTGGTCTCACCCCCAACACGTGCTCATCATCCAGCTCATTGAAGACAGTTCCAGACACCTGGTTGGGTTTAAGGACCTGCCAGTTGAGTGAAGGCATACGGAATTTAGTCTGAATGGGCTTCTTGTTTCTGTTACCTGTCCAGAAGAGGAACACATTCTTTAACAGCACTTTTCATTGTGTAAAACCATTTCTAATGGCCAGTCCTTGTTAGTGGGGACCAATTAACTGAGAGTTTTTTCATTAGAACCACGACTGACAGAACTATCTTGACCTATCGTGTGTTAGTTTACCAGTGTGTCCATCAGGCATACCCCCAAATGGTGGGGGCATACCACCCCCTGGAGGAGGTGGGGGCGGAGGAGGTGGTGCAGTCGAGCCTGTAGGGGGAGGAGTAGGAGGTGGAGGAGGAGGGGCTTGTGCTGTGGCCTCTGTTGCACCAGGTAATGGAGGAGCAGGGGGAGGGGGCGGGACTACAGATGTGGGAGGGGCCACAGGGCCATCAACAGTCGTGATTTGTTCTGTGGATGCAGGGAAAATGAAACAATGTTAATTATTTATGATGAATTTGATTCCCTAAACCAAACCAAATTAATATTTAAAGAATTTATTTCCAAAACACAATATCTACAAATGTTTCACATTTGTGTTTTTCATCAGAAATTATTGCTTATGGGTACCTTCATGTCTGTTTAAAATAACGATTTTTTATTCATAGATTTGAGATGTGTATGAAAATGTGTTTTTTTGCTAAACGCTATATATCCATTGTTTATCTGGAATGTTCGTATCCTGTATATTTGACTGTGATATGTGGTTGTCTAACCTAACCATCTTAAAGGCCGAGTGCAGTCAAAAACATAATTTCCTGTGTTTTATATACAAAATAATGGAAACACTTGAGTAAATGAGAGATACAAAGTATATTGAAAGTAGGTGCTTCTACACAGGTGTAGTTCCTGATTTAATTAAGCAATTAACATCCCATCATACTTAGGGTCATGTCTAAACATACTGGGCAGGCCATTAATTTGGCTACCATGGCTCTGCCCCCATAGGACGACAATGCCCCCATACACAGGGCACGAGTGGTCACTGAATGGTTTGATAAGCATGAAAACGATGTACACCATATGCCATGGCCGTCTCAGTCACCAGATCTCAGCCCAATAGAACACTTATAGAACACTTCTGGGAGATTCTGGAGCAGCGCCTGAGACAGCATTTTCCACCACCATCAACAAAACACCAAATGACGGAATTTCTCGTGGAAGAATGGTGTCACATCCCTCCAACAGAGTTCCAGACGCTTGTAGAATCTATGCAAAGGTGCATTGAAGCTGTTCTGGCCCAACACCCTATTAAGAAACTTTATGTTGGTGTTTCCTTTATTTTATTTAGTCAGTTACCTGTATATTCCATACTATGAGGTCGGAATAATACTGTGAAATTGTGAAAATTATAATAATGCCCTTTTAGAGTAAGAGCTGTTTGAAAGGACGACTGTTTTGGAGGGATGGAGTTTTGGCCTGCCTGGTGACATAAATTACAGTGCCTTCAGAAAGCATTCACACCCCTTGACTTTTTCCACATTTTGTTGTGTTACAGCCTGAATTTAAAATGTATTAAATTCCGATTTTTTTGTCACTGGCCTACACACAATACCCTTTAATGTCAAAGTGGAATTATGTTTTTAGACATTTCTACAAATTAATTTAAAAAATAAACCCCTTTGTTACAATACAAAAAGCAGTCATTGAGTATCCCTTTGAGCATGGTGAAGTTATTTATTACACTTTGGATGATGTATACATACATCCAGTCACTACAAAGATACAGGCATCCTTCCTAACTCAGTTGCCGGAGAGGAAGGAAACATCTCAGGGATTTTCACCATGAGGCCAATAGTGACTTTAAAACAGCTACAGAGTTTAAAGGCTGTGATAGGAGAAAACTGAGGATGGATCAACAACATTGTAGTTACTCCACAATACTAACCTAATTGACAGAGTGAAAAGAAGGAAGCCTGCACAGAATAAAAAATATTCCAAAATATGCATCCTGTTTGCAACAAGGCACTAAAGTAGGCATAAAATATGGCAAAGCAACTAACTTTTTGTCCTGAATACAAAGTGTTACAGTACATTTGGTGCAAATCCAATACAACAGTACCACTCCATATTTTCAAGCATAGTGGTGGCTGCATTGTGTTATGGGTATGCTTTTAATTGTTAAGGACTGGGGAGTTTTTCAGGATAAAAAATCAATAAATGGAATGGAGCTAAGCACAGAAAAAATCCTAGAGGAAAACCTGGTTCAGTCTGCTTTCCACCCGACACTGGGAAATGAATTCACCTTTCAGAAGGACAATAACCTTGTCAGGCGTGCGGTAGGTGAAATGGTGGAATCAAACGCAGGACTCAGAACGATATTCCCAAAGGCTTGTATTATTGGCCAAACCAAGGCAAATGGAACCTTTGCCCGGAGGCAACAATTACGCACGAAGGCGAAAAGAAACTGCGCACAAACAGGTGCGACAAAATAGCAACCGCGCACAAACAGGTGCGACAAAAATAGTAACCACGCACAAACAGGTGCGGAAATACTCCAGTAATAATGGAGAGAAGCTCAACCGAGCAATACACACAACTGACGGAAAATCAATTACACACAACACTAGACAAACACAACGAGAAACTTATAGGACACTAATTACGCCAAAACAGAAACAGGTGTGAAAACAAACAGACCAAAGCAAACGAACAAGAAACAAACAGCGGTGGCAGCTAGAATTTCGGAGACGACGAACGCCGAAACCTGCCCGAACAAGGGAGAGAGGCAGCCTCGGCCGAAACCGTGACAGTACCCCCCCCCTTGACGCGCGGCTCCAGACGTGCGCCGACTCCGGCCTCGGGGACGACCAGGAGGACGCGGCGCAGGGCGCGTCGGATGCCCCCGATGGAATTCCGTCAGGAGCGACGGGTCCAAAACGTCTCTCCTCGGCACCCAGCACCGCTCCTCCGGGCCGTACCCCTCCCACTCCACTAGATACTGGAGACCCCCCATCCGACGTCTCGAATCCAAGATGGATCTCACGGAGTACGCCGGTGCCCCCTCGATGTCCAACGGGGGCGGAGGAGTCTCCAAGATCTCATCTTCTTGGAGTGGGCCCGCTACCACCGGCCTGAGAAGGGACACATGGAACGAGGGGTTAATACACTTATACTCCACAGGTAACATTAACCTATAACATACCTCGTTCAACCTTCTCAGGACTTTAAATGGCCCTACAAACCGCCGACCCAGTTTCCGACAGGGCAGGCGGAGGGGCAGGTTTCTGGTAGAGAGCCAGACTCGATCACCAGGTGCGTACACCGGTGCCTCACTGCGGTGGAGATCAGCGCTCGCCTTCTGACGTCGGAGGGCCCGCTGCAGGTGGACGTGTGCAGCGTTCCAAGTCTCCTCCGAGCGCCGCGCCCACTCATCCACCGCAGGAGCCTCGATCTGGCTCTGCTGCCAGGGTGCCAGAACCGGCTGGTAACCTAACACACATTGAAATGGAGTTAGGTTAGTGGAGGAATGGCGTAGGGAATTCTGGGCCATCTCGGCCCAGGGAACGTACCTCGACCACTCCTCCGGCCGGTCCCGGCAGTATGTTCTGAGAAACCTACCCACATCCTGGTTTACGCGTTCCACCTGCCCATTACTCTCCGGGTGGTAACCCGAGGTGAGGCTTACCGAGACCCCCAACCGCTCCATAAACGCTCTCCAGACTCTGGAGGTGAATTGGGGACCCCGATCAGCCACAATGTCCTCGGGTACCCCGTAGTGCCGGAACACATGGGTAAACAGTGCCTCGGCAGTTTGTAGGGCAGTAGGAAGACCCGGCATGGGGAGCAAACGACAGGCCTTAGAGAACCGGTCCACCACGACCAGGATGGTAGTATTCCCTTGGGAGAGGGGAAGGTCTGTTATAAAGTCCACTGAGAGGTGGGACCATGGTCGTTGTGGAACGGGCAGGGGTAGCAACTTACCCCTAGGTAGATGTCTAGGCGCCTTACACTGGGCGCACACCGAGCAGGAGGAAACATAAACCCTCACATCCCTTGCCAACGTGGGCCACCAGTACTTGGCACTAAGACAGTGCACTGTCCGGCCGATACCCGGATGTCCAGAGGAGGGTGACGTGTGAGCCCAATAGATCAATCGATCCCGAACCTCGAGCGGAACGTACTTCCGACCCTCCGGGCACTGTGGTGGACTAGGGTCGGTGCGTAACGCCCACTCGAGTTCAGAATCGACCTCCCACACTACCGGTGCCACCAGACACGACTCAGGCAGTATGGGAGTGGGCTCCACGGACCTCTCCTCCGTGTCATACCGCCGAGACAGCGCATCTGCCTTGCCATTCTGTGACCCAGGGATGTACGTGATCTTAAAAGTAAACCTGGTCAAGAACATACTCCATCTTGCCTGGCGAGGGTTCAGCCTCCTCGCCGCCCGGATGTACTCCAGGTTACGGTGGTCCGTCAAAATGAGGAAAGGGTGTTGAGCCCCCTCAAGCCAGTGCCTCCACACCTTTAGAGCCTGTACCACGGCTAACAGCTCCCTGTCCCCTACGTCATAGTTCCGCTCCGCCGGACTGAGCTTCTTGGAATAAAAAGCACAGGGGCGGAGTTTAGGTGGCGCGCCAGACCGTTGTGAAAGCACGGCTCCTAAACCGGCCTCCGACGCGTCCACCTCTACCTGGAACGGCAAAGAGGGATCCGGATGCGCCAGCACCGGGGCCGAGGTAAACAGGTCCTTCAGCCTCCCAAACGCCCTGTCCGCCTCGGCCGACCACTGCAGACGCACCGGACCCCCCTTCAACAGAGACGTGATGGGAGCTGCCACCTGTCCAAAACCCCGGATAAACCTCCTGTAGTAATTTGCAAACCCCAAAAACTGCTGCACCTCCTTCACAGTAGTTGGTGTTTGCCAATTTCGCACGGCCAACACCCGGTCTACCTCCATCTTCACCCCTGACGCAGACAACTGATAACCCAAAAAGGAGACCGACTCCTGGAAAAACAGACACTTCTCTGCCTTCGCATACAGGTCGTGCTCCACCAGCCTCCGCAACACTCTTCGCACCAGGGCCACATGCTCGACACGGGTAGGCGAGTACACGAGAATGTCATCAATGTACACCACCACTCCCTGCCCCTGCATGTCCCTGAAGATCTCATCCACGAATGATTGGAAAACTGACGGAGCGTTCATCAACCCGTATGGCATGACCAGATACTCGTAATGGCCCGAGGTGGTACTAAATTCTGTTTTCCATTCATCACCCTCCCTGATGCGCACCAAGTTGTACGCGCTCCTGAGATCTAATTTCGTGAAGAAACGCGCCCCATGCAACGACTCAGTCATGGTCGCAATCAGCGGGAGTGGATAACTATACTTCACCGTAATCTGATTGAGACCACGGTAATCGATGCACGGACGCAAACCACCATCCTTTTTCTTCACGAAAAAGAAACTCGAGGACGCAGGGGAAGTGGAAGGCCGTATGTATCCTTGTCTCAGAGATTCGTCTATGTAAACCTCCATAGCTTTCTTCTCCTCCTGAGACAGAGGATACACATGGCTCCGTGGGAGCGCAGCTCCTGCCTGGAGGTCTATCGCACAATCCCCCTGCCTATGGGGTGGCAATCGCGTCGCCCTCGCCTTACTAAACGCAATAGCCAAATCCCCATATTCAGGTGGAACGGGCAATGCGGGCACCTGGTTTGGACTCTCCACCGAGGTAGCCCCTATGGAAACGCCCAAACATCTACCCACACACTGAGCAGACCACTCCATCAGAGCCCTCTCCTGCCACGAAATAGCTGGGTTATGGGTACTCAACCAGGGCATGCCCAGCACCACCGGATACGCAGGAGAATCAATCAGGAACAGCTGAATCATCTCCTGATGATTCCCCTGCGCACACATCCTAAGTGGCGCCGTGACCTCCCTGATCAAGCCCGTACCCAACGGACGACTATCTAGGGCATGAACGGGGAAAGGAACATCAACAGGAGTAAGGGGAATCCCTAACGCTAAACAAAACTTTTTATCAATAAAATTCCCAGCCGCGCCTGAATCTACCAGCGCCTTATGCTGGGAATGAGGTGCTACCTGTGGAAAACTGACAGGTATACAAAAATGGGCAACAGTGAGCTCTGGGTGAGTGGGGCGCCTACTCACCTGGAGGGAATCCCCAGTGCGGGACCTGTCGTCATCTCCCCTAGGAGGCCATCCCCAGCACCTAGCCGCGGTGTGTCCTCCCCGACCACAGTTGGTGCAGTGGATGGACCCCCTAGCCTGCCGACTCCTCCTTTCTCTAGCGCCAGCGCCACCGAGCTCCATAGGACACGGCTCGGAGGCGCTGGAGGGTGGAATGGACGGACCCTCCGCAGGACGTCCGCGGGTAGCCAGCAGGTGATCCAGCCTGATGGACATGTCGACCAGCTGGTCGAAAGTGAGGCTGGTGTCCCTACAAGCAAGCTCCCGACGGACGTCCTCTCGTAGGCTACATCTGTATAAATCGATGAGGGCCCGATCATTCCACCCTGCATCTGCCGCTAGCGTACGGAATTCAAGAGCGAATTCCTGGGCACTCCTCCTCCCCTGCCGGAGGAAGACCAGACGCTCCCCCGCCGCTTTCCCCTCCGGGGGATGGTCAAACACCGCCCTGAAGCGGCGGGAGAACTCGTCGTATGTAATCGTCGTGGCGTCGATCTTCCTCCACTCCGCGTTGGCCCACTCCAACGCTTTACCGGCCAGGCAGGAGATCAGGGCGGACACGCTCTCATGCCCCGAAGGTGCCGGGTGCACTGTGGCCAGGTATAGCTCCACCTGGAGTAGAAATCCCTGACACCCAGCCGCGGTCCCGTCATAGGCCCTCGGTAGAGATAGTCGGACTCCTCGAGGTTCCGGCGCTGGAAGGAGCGGGCTGGCCGATGGTGCTGGCAGGGAGGGAGGTGGTGGAGGCGTACCCCAGCCTCGGATTGTGGAAATCACCTCCTGCAGGGCGGTCCCCATCTGTTGGATCTGCTCTCGTTGGTCCCGAACCTGGGCCTCCAGTCTCGTCTGAGCTGCTTCGGCTCCTGCTGATTCCATTGAAGGTGTGTAATTCTGTCAGGCGTGCAGTAGGTGAAATGGTGGAATCAAACGCAGGACTCAGAACGATATTCCCAAAGGCTTGTATTATTGGCCAAACCAAGGCAAATGGAACCTTTGCCCGGAGGCAACAATTACGCACGAAGGCGAAAAGAAACTGCGCACAAACAGGTGCGACAAAATAGCAACCGCGCACAAACAGGTGCCACAAAAATAGTAACCACGCACAAACAGGTGCGGAAATACTCCAGTAATAATGGAGAGAAGCTCAACCGAGCAATACACACAACTGACGGAAAATCAATTACACACAACACTAGACAAACACAACGAGAAACTTATAGGACACTAATTACGCCAAAACAGAAACAGGTGTGAAAACAAACAGACCAAAGCAAACGAACAAGAAACAAACACCGGTGGCAGCTAGAATTCCGGAGACGACGAACGCCGAAACCTGCCCGAACAAGGGAGAGAGGCAGCCTCGGCCGAAACCGTGACAAACCTAAAACACAAGACCATAGCTACACTGGAGTTGCTTACCAAGAAGACAGTGAATGTTCCTGAATGGTTGAGTTGCAGTTTTGACTTAAATCTACTTGGAAATCTAAGAATAAATGGGCAAATGTTGCACAATCCAGGTGTGGAAAACTATTAGAAACGTATCCAGAAAGACTCACAGCTGTGCTTATACAAAGTATTGACTCAGGGGTGTGAATACTTATATTAATGAGATATTTCTGTATTTAATTTGCAATAAATTTGCAAACATTTCTAAAAACATGTTTTCACTTTGTCATTATGGGGTTTTGTGTGTAGATGGGTGAGAAAAAAATAAATAATTTAATCAATTTTGAAATCAGGCTGTAACACAATTTTTTTTGGAATAAGTCAAGAGGTATGAATACTTTTTGAAGGAACTGTAGTTAATAGACCAATAAGAAAGAGAGTTCCAAACCTCTCGGTCAATAATAGCTCGTTTTCAGTTTTCCCCTCCCCACTTTACTCCCAGACAGTCCTAGCTAAATTCTTGCTTGAGAAATTGCTATTTTTGTTTAAGTTTGACCATTTGAATTGCAAACAATCAAAATAAGGTACTAAATTGTCACCAAGAAAATATTTGACATTGAGATAAAAACGGCTGCAGTGGACCTTTAAGTTGCTCTGGATCAGATATTCTGCTAAATGACTAAAATGTAAAATGTAAATGTTTTACATACAGATCTCATATTACTGTATTTAAATATTTTTAAACAAGTAATTAACAAAATGTATGTCACAAATGTATCATTTGTACAGTTATTTACTATAAATGTACTTATTTGTTACATTTGACTGTGAAGAACCTAGCAGTACTACTTATTTCTCTGAGAGTGGGGTAGATACATAGCATTTTGCAAAAAAAAAACATGATAATTTGTCTCTCTGAAAAGAAACCAGTGATAGATTTTAAACAAATACATGTCTGTCATTGAACAACCCCATGCCATGACTACAGTCGTGGTCAAAAGTTTTGAGAATGGTATTGGTCTTCACAAAGTTTGCTGATTCAGTGTTTTTAGATATTTTTGTCAGATGTTACTATGGTATACTGAAGTATAATTACAAGCATTCCATAAGTGTCAAAGGCTTTTATTGACAATTACATTAAGTTTATGCAAAGAGTCAATATTTGCAGTGTTGACCCTTCTTTTTCAAGACCTCTGCAATCCGCCCTGGCATGCTGTCAATTAACTTCTGGGCCACATCCTGACTGATGGCAGCCCATTCTTGCATAATCAATGCTTGGAGTTTGTCAGAATTTTGGGGTTTTTGTTTGTCCACCCGCCTCTTGAGGATTGACCACAAGTTCTCAATGGGATTAAGGTCTGGGGAGTTTCCTGGCCATGGACCCAAAATTTCGATGTTTTGTTCCCCGAGCCACTTAGTTATCACTTTTTCCTTATGGCAAGGTGCTCCATTATGCTGGAAAAGGCATTGTTCGTCACCAAACTGTTCTTGGATGGTTGGGAGAAGTTGCTCTTGGAGGATGTGTTGGTACCATTCTTTATTCATGGCTGTGTTCTTAGGCAAAATTGTGAGTGAGCCCACTCCCTTGGCTGAGAAGCAACCCCACACATGAATGGTCTCAGGATGCTTTACTGTTGGCATGACACAGGACTGATGGTAGCGCTCACCTTGTCTTCTCCGGACAAGCTTTTTTCCGGATGCCCCAAACAATCGGAAAGGGCCACCTTTTGCAGAATATCAGTCTGTCCCTGATGTTTTTCCTGGAGAGAAGTGGCTTCCTTGCTGCCCTTATTGACACCAGGCTATCCTCCAAAAGTCTTCACCTCACTGTGCGTGCAGATGCACTCACACCTGCCTGCTGCCATTTCTGAGCAAGCTCTGCACTGGTGGTGCCCCGATCCCACAGCTGAATCAACTTTAGGAGACGGTCCTGGCACTTGCTGGACTTTATTGGGCGCCCTGAAGCCTTCTTGACAACAATTGAACCTCTCTCCTTGAAGTTCTTGATGATCCGATAAATGGTTGATTTAGGTGCAATCTTACTAGCAGCAATATCCTTGCCTGTGAAGCCCTTTTTGTGCAAAGCAATGATGACGGCACGTGTTTCCTTGCAGGTAACCATGGTTAACAGAGGAAGTTATGTTTCAAGCACCACCCTCCTTTTAAAGCTTCCAGTCTGTTATTGTAACTCAATCAGCATGACAGAGTGATCACTGACATGATGTCAGCTGGTCCTTTTGTGGCAGGGCTGAAATGCAGTGGAAATGTTTTGGGGGGATTAAGTTCATTTTCATAGCAAAGAGGGACTTTGCAATTAATTGCAATTCATCTGATCACTCTTCATAACATTCTGGAGTATATACAAATTGCCATCATAAAAACTGAGGCAGCAGACTTTGTGAAAATTTATATTTGTGTCATTCTCAAAACCTTTGACCATAACTGTAGATAGTGAAAAAACACACCAATCTCTTTCATAATTTCTTTAAACAATAAAAGCTAATTTACCAACATTTCAGAAGATGGATATATAGCGTTTTGCAGTGAAACTCTTGATTTCTGACATGGTTTCTGAGCCCATGTGTGTGGCTCGTAGCTCACCTGTTTCTGCAGGGACGGAAACAGGAGGGATGACAGGGACCACATGGAGGTCCAGGTGTCCCGAGGACGTGCGCTCCATTCGAATCAGCCCCTGGCACACAAGCCCCTGAACTTTCTCCTCCAGCTCCGCTAAGGCCTGGGCCGAACGATCTCTTTCCCTCGCCCGCTCTCTTTCCCTCTCTCGTTCTATCTCTCTCTCTATCTCCCGCTGTTGTAGAATGGTCACCTGGGCACAGGACTCACGCAGACTCACCTGTTACACAGACAAACATGTCCATGTGTTAGCCCTCTGAGCTATAGCCTAGACATTAGCTCGGGATCTAACGCAAGTCTTCTTTGTCAATGTAATGGACTATAGTTAGGCATACCTTTAGGAGCTCCACCTCTTTGGTGGTCTGGATGAGTTGTTTCTCCAGCTCTGACACTTTCTCCAACGCCTCCCTCTCACTCTCTTCCAGTCTGCTGCTTATCTATAACACACACACATGTACACACATATATATAGTCGTACAGACACATGTAGAAACACACAGCACACCACATACATCTACTTATTCTAAATCTTCAAAAAAAAATTGCACAAGCAAAGCGTCAAGTTCACCCAGGTGCAACACATCAGAATAAAGTTTACATAGAGGGTGTGTGTTCTTTTATGTACACAAAGGACATATGGTCACCTGTGCATTGTGCTCCTGCAGCTCCTCCATGTGTTCCAACAGGGCATTCTTGGTCTCTGCATCCTCCAGCAGAGCACCCACATCAAACACGTTGTCCAGGTAGGCCTGGATCTGCACCAGCAGCCGGTCACTCTCCGTGAACTTTAACCTCTGTACATGACAGAGGGACACATACACACATACAGTGCATTTGGAAAGTATTCAGACCCCTTCACTTTTTCCGAATTTTGTTACGTTACAGTCTTATTCTAAAATTGATTAAATTGTTTTTTTCCCCTCATCAATCTACACACAATACCCCATAATGACAAAGCAAAAACTGGTTTTTAGAAATGTTAGCAAGTTTATTAAAAATATATATCACATTTACATAAGTATTCAGACCCTTTACTCAGTAGTTTGTTGACACACCTTTGGCAGTGATTACAGCCTCGACTCTTCTTGGATATGATGCTACAAGCTTGGCACACCTGTATTTGGGGAGTTTCTCCCATTCTTCTCTGCAGATCCTCTCAAGCTCTGTCAGGTTGGATGGGGAGCGTCGCTGCACAGCTATTTAGGTGTCTCCAAAAATGTATGATCGGGTTCAAGTCCGGACTCTGGCTGGGCAGCTCAAGAACATTCAGAGACTTGTCCCGAAGACACTCCTGCGTTGTCTTGGCTGTGTGCTTAGGGTCGTTGTCCTGTTGGAAGGTGAACCTTTGCCCCAGTCTGAGGTCCTGAGCACTCAGGAGCAGTTTTTCATCAAGGATCTCTCTGTACTTTGCTCCGTTCATCTTTCCCTTGATCCTGAGTAGTTTCCAAGTCCCTGCCGGCGAAAAACATCCCCACAGCATGATGCTGCCACCACCATGCTTCACCTTAGGGATGGTGCCAGGTTTCCTCCAGACATGACTCTTGGCATTCAGGCCACATTTTTCAATCTTGGTTTCATCAGACCAGAAAATCTTGTTTCTCATGGTCTGAGAGTCCTTTAGGTGCCTTTTGGTAAACTCCAAGCGGGCTGTCATGTGCCTTACTGAGGAGTGTCTTCCGTCTGGCCACTCTACCATAAAGGCCTGATTGGTGGAGTGCTGCAGAGATGGTTGTCCTTCTGGAAGGTTCTTCCATCTCCACAGAGGAACTCTGGAGCTCTGTCAGAGTGAATATTGGGTTCTTGGTCACCTCCCTGACCAAGGCCCTTCTCCCCCGATTGCTCAGTTTGGCCGGGCGGCCAGCTCTAGGAAGAGCCTTGGTGGTTCCAAAATTCTTCCATTTAAGAATGATGGAGGCCACTGTGTTCTTGGGGACCTTCAATGCTGCAGAAATCTTTTGGTACCCTTCCCCAGATCTGTGCCTCAACACCATCCTGTCTCGGAGCTCTATGGACAATTCCTTTGACCTCATGGATTGGTTTTTGCTCTGACATGCACTGTTAACTGTGGGACCTTATATAGACAGGTGTGTGCTTTTCCAAATAATGTCCAATCAATTGAATTTACCACAAGTGGACTCTAATCAAGTTGTAGAAACATCTCAAGGATGATAAATGGAAACAGGATGCACCTGAGCTCAATTTCGAGTCTCATTGCAAAGGGTCTGAATACTTATGTAAGTAACGTATTTACGTTTTTTTATTTGTAATACATTTGCAAACATTTCTAAAAAGCTGTTTATGCTTTGTCATTATGGGGTATTGTGTGTAGATTGATGAGGATTTTTATTTATTTAATCAATTTTAGAATAAGGCTGTAACGTAACAAAATGTGGAAAAATTGAAGGGGTCAGAATAATTTCTGAATGCACTGTATACATAGACAAACTACTGTTCTATTTAATTATGTGCCCAAACATGCATAATTGATTTACCTTCAAATTAAGTCTCCTATGACAACAAAAACATACACAATGGAATTATGAGTCCTTAGGTTTTTGGTAATGATAAGGAAAGACAGTTGTAGTAATGTAATATCATAAGGTATTATAAGTAGTATTCTTTAAAAAACTGGGGGTATACAGTATTTTGATATTTTCTGAAAATATCTGACCACGTGTCAGTGGTTAGGGGCAACTTCTCTCTGTGATTCTGGCTCACTCACCTCTAGATAGTCATCCAGGCCATGGTGGGTAAACTCATACTGCAGATGGACCCTAAAGTTCATGTTCTCCACTGAGTGGACCATGATGTTGATGAACTGCATGCTCGCCACCTGGTGGACATAAACAGTAGGAGACGGCATGGTACACCGTGGGAAAACTATGGTCACGTAACTTCAATGGTTTACATCAATGGAATCAAGTTGACATCTACTATAACTTGCTTATCAAGTCTGAGCATTATCTCTTCTGTGCACAGAAGGAGATGGACCTAATGAACACCTAATGAACACGAATTGTGCAATTTGGAGCCAGACTCACCATAAAGTCAATGTTGCTTTCTTCATTGCAGAAATACTCCATGAGTTTCTCAAAGCGGCTCTTCTCTCCACATACCTTATGAACGACATAGATGGAAGGGGAAAAGGTTTTCGACTGGGCACATCATTCTGCACTGCCACACCACAAATATGCACAGGGGGGCAGGGTATCCTTAAATACAGCCACCTGTTCCCCATGCAGTTTATCTTGCTATGCCTTTCTCTCTCTCTTCCACTCTCTCTCTACCCCTAGGCTATCCGAAATGACTTCTATAATGGAAGTTAGCTGACTTTAATAATGGAACCTATAATATGAACATTACTCATACATACAAAAGTGGGTTCAGAACACTCTGCACGCTAGGAGTAAGTAGTGTGTTTGAAACTGAAATATATCAGTTAGACTACTCTATTGTGTGATATCCATTAGCTGCACCCTTTGAACATGTGTGATTTGTCTTTAAGGATTAACGTCACCCCGCCCACTCACGTCCACTAAATAATACAGGCCTGCACTTCAACCTGCCAGCCTGTACCCCAACAACGCTCACGCTCTGCCACTGTGGGTAACAGGAGCAAGCCTGGGACTATGCCTTCCCGCCTTCACTACTACACTCCTTCACTCCTCTACAATGTGCTATCTATCATCTCTCGCTCTCTCTCCCTCCATTAGTCTCTCACCCACACAGTCTCTCTGCGCTGTACCAAAACAAGTACCACTCACTGTGCCGCTTTTGATGCCAGCTCTGTAACTGATAATAGGATACTACTCTAAGGTATTGCTTAAACAATGTGCGTGATTGGATATGAGAAGGTGAGAGCTCTGGATACTGCAATTATTGATGACTTTTATCGAGCTGATTTGAGAGTGTTGAAAAACTCAATCCCTCTTTAAATATTTCACAACTTTGTGTGCATTGTTTAACCGATGCCTATCTCTGAGTGTCATATTATTGGGCTTTAAAAAGACGGACTGTAAGTAACCAACACTGATATATCGTGTTCTGATACTTCCTCAAGCCACCAGACATACGTCATAGGAAACGAGTGAACGTGAGACATTTTGATAGAGAGTTATCTGCTCTGGTCAATGTCCATGTAATTATCCGCTCTAGGGAGAGGTTTCCCATAACTACTGGTCTAGGATCAGCTTCACTCATCATTCCTAGTTATACCAATCAGGACTTCAAAGACAAAACTGACCACAGAGCAGTGCTTAGGGGCCACTATCCATAAATACCACAGGTTGCAGACCTAGCTTCCCTGACCTTGCCCATTTCTAATAATTCCCAGGTCTACATCCAGGTCTACATCGCAATCTCTGGGTAGCCCTATCCATGGGGGTATTTTTCTGTTGGAAACAGTTGCTCCCTTGACAGACAGTGGTGAGAGGTCCACGGAAAGGTTCAACTGTCACGACGGCAACAAATGTTACAAATGTTTTTGCCCCCACCCCCTTCCATACTTTGTGTCTGCTTATAGGAGGCAACTGCCTCGACAGCTGCCATGGGGTTCGGTGTGTGAAGGGGGTGGTGGTGTTCCCCATCTCTTCCCAAGTAACAAAAGGAACGAGAGGTATGCCAACCTGAGCCTACTGTGGCACCCCCATGCCATGTATCTCAAACTGAGACAGGATGTCTTTGGATGGGGGTTGATTGTGCCGTGTTCACACTGCTAGTGTGAGTCATCAAGGAAAGCATGCAGACGACTGATGGCCACATCCTAACTTCTTTTTAGATCTCTGCATGTAACTCATGTAAGCTTTGCGTAAATTGAGCACTGATGGGAGCATCTATGACATGTAATATGATATTGAGAGACTTCAGAAGGATGTAGGGCTTGACAGGACTTGTTGGCGAAGAGACTGTCGTCATGGATACCCCTCTAACCTCTTTAAAGTTGTCGAAGGCAGAGAGGATGATGTCATGACCCCCCTTCACTAGACACACGGCAGCCAGCAGCTCCAGCACCAGGGCCTTGGTCCTGAGGGGTAAAAGTGTACATTATAATACCCTCATACACAGACAAACACGCGCGCACACACACACACACATTTGTTTTACTATCCTTGTGGGGGCCAAACAATTGGTTCCCATTCAAAATCCTATTTTACCTAACCCTTAACCTAACCTTAACCCCTAACCCTAACCCTAACTCCTAACTCTAAACCTAAACCGTAATTCTAACCCTAACCCTTATTGTAAACCTAACCCTAAACCTAACCCCTAAGCCTGTCACGATCGCTGACAGATGAAGCGGACCAAGGCGCAGCGTGATAAGCGTACATTCTTTACTTGTGTACACACACGAACCAAAACAATAAACCAAACGATACGTGAAGTCCTACGAGCTACAGCTGTCTCTGATTGGGAACCACCCTGGCCAACATAGATACAAACGATCTAGAACAGAACGAAAAACATAGAAAACTAAACAATGAAAATCCACACCCTGGCTCAACATTTAAGAGTCCCCAGAGCCAGGGCGTGACAGTACCCCCCCCCCCCCCCCCCCCCCCCCCCCCCCCCCCCCACAAGAGGGAAGGGGCCGGGTGGGCATTCCGCCTCGGAGGCGGATCCGGCTCCGGGCGTGACCACCACTCTCTCTCTACCCCCCCGTTGCGCCCCTGGTCTGGTCTGGCCCCGCTGGCCGGAGCTGGACTGGACACCGGTGGAGCAGGCACGGGCCGTGCCGGACTGACGACGCGCACCACTGGCTTGGTACGGGGAGCAGGAACGGGCCGGACCGGGCTGACGACGCGCACCACTGGCTTGGTGCGGGGAGCAGGAACGGGCCGGACCGGGCTGGCGACGCGCACCACTGGCTTGGTGCGGGGAGCAGGACAGGCCGGACCGGGCTGGCGACGCGCACCACTGGCTTGGTGCGGGGAGCAGGAACAGGCCGGACCGGGCTGCATGCCCACCTTAGCACGACACGTGCGTGGTGCTAGCACAGGACGTACAGGACTGTGCCGGAACACTCGCGGCACAGTACGTGGCTCCGCATAACACGGAACCTGCCCAGTCTCACGCTGCCTAGCCTGAGTACGGGGAGTTGGCTCTGCTCTACCTCTAGGCTCCGCCAACCAGCCTTCCAGCCCCCCAAACCTGGTGGCCTCCTCTCCTAGTCCGCCGATTCGCCCTGTAGCTGCCTCCAGCAGCCCCGTCGTCCACGCCGTGTGCTCCCCCCCAAAAAATGTATTGGGGTTGCCTCTCGCGTGTCCGTCGTCGGCACGGTTGGCGCCGTTTCTCCTCTCCTGCCTGGGCATTTACTTTTGCCCATGGCCCTCTGCCCGCGAATATGTCCTCCCAAGACCACCATTTGCCCACCTGGGACATCGCCAACTTCTCCTCCTGGGCACGCTGCTTGGTCCTCTGGTGGTGGGATCTTCTGTCACGATCGCTGACAGATGAAGCGGACCAAGGCGCAGCGTGATAAGCGTACATTCTTTATTTGTGTACACACACGAACCAAAACAATAAACCAAACGATACGTGAAGTCCTAGGTTATACACAAAACCCTACGGAACAAGATCCCACAAAACTAACAGGCCAAAAGGCTGCCTAAGTATGGTCCCCAATCAGAGACAACGAGCTACAGCTGTCTCTGATTGGGAACCACCCTGGCCAACATAGATATAAACGATCTAGAACGAAAAACATAGAAAACTAAACAATGGAAATCCACACCCTGGCTCAACATTTAAGAGTCCCCAGAGCCAGGGCGTGACAAAGCTTACCATAGCCTTTTTCCTTGTGGGAACTGGCGAAACGTCCCCACTTCTGGTCCCCACAAGGATACTAAAACTAAAAACACACACATGCACACACACTCAACAACAATATTATTTTACACAACAGACAGACATACAGACTCAGCACACACACACACTAATAATACTGGTCCTCACCTGGGGTTCCTGTTGTTGAGACTGAGCGTGATCTCGTTCACACAGCATGGGTGAGTCATCACCAGGTTAAACCCAGACTAAACCCACACATACACACAGTTGTCAGTCATCGCCATCGTCAGTCATATGACATATACTGCAGTGTAGACTTGATTCCTACTGACACAAAGCCTGTCAACTGTCGCTTTTTCAATGGACAATGTCTTCCAGCATAGGAGGGAGGCATAAAGTAATGGCGTGTAAAACACCAAGCCATGAGGCTAAAATAAATGTTATTCCTAGCTAACTCTATTTAGTCACTCTGTTTTAACAGTAGAAATAAAGGTGAATAGGCCTACCTGGCCAAATGTTATAGGTTGAATAAAGGTTAAATAAGGTTTACATGGAGCAGTGTGTACCTGGTAGTTCATGATGGCACGTAGACACATGATGCAGAGGTGAACGTCGTCTTTCTGACTGACGAGGCGTGAGTTCCTCAGCGCTTTCCTGTTGTGGAGAGAGTTGAATCTGCCAGGTGAGAAATGTAGCTGTTATTACCATGTTATTACTAATGCATAGCGCTATGCATTATGTAAATATGAGGTTATTACAAAGCCACAGTAACACATTTTCATTCAAAGCCCTTGCGGTATGTTTAAATAACTATAAAATGTAAACTCTAGGTGTTTATAATGTCTACATATTTCAAAATTGTTCATAAATAAGAATTACTATCTCGCCTACATTTTCATTGCTAGGGTCATTCTTGTTAATGATGAACTTAGAAATTAGTCTTTATTCCCCTTCTCAACACCACAACGAGAGGCATAATGGTGGTGTGCATGTTAATAGTCCCTTCAAAATGACATCTGAGTTAGTAAGAGTGAGAGAGGGACAAAGAATGTTTAGAGAAACAGAGACAATCCAATGATGATGAGATATGGTTCTTACACACCCTTCAATGACAGGCAGTGCCCCAAAATGGACCCTCCAAGATGTCTGTTGATGGGTGGAATGTCTGATGGTTTGGCCCTAGTCAGACATTGCTCACATTCACGTTTACACAATGTTTACATTTAGACATAGACTACATTGTTGAGAGGGAGGCATGCTGCATCCAACGTTTACCCTACGGATGAAAAGGATTATAGAGGTGTGTGTGTGTGTGGCTTCAGAAAGAACAGGAGTACGGTCAACATGATATTCACGGCACGGCAACTCCAGAAGAAGTGCTGTGAACAACATCAGGACCTTTTCATGGCCTTGTCGACCTCTCCAAGGCCTTCGACACTGTGAGCAGAGAACTACTATGGGGCATTCTTTAGCTGTCCAGACAAATTTGGCAACATTCTTTGCCAGTTCCATGATGGGATGATGGCTCGGGTGGCCATAGGAGGGCAGTAGTCAGTGTCCTTTGGAGTAAGCATCGGTGTGAGGCAGGGGTGTGTGCTGGCACCTGTACTCTTTAACATCTTCCTCCTATGTGTCACCCAGCTTCTCCACAAGGGGCTTGAGGACAGCAGCGGGGTTGCGGTGGACTACAGGCTGGATGGAAACCTATTCAACATCAGGAGGCTCCAAGCAACCACCAAGGTTTCGACGGAGTGGGTTCTTGAGCTGCAGTATGCTGATGACTGTGCTCTTGTGGCCCACACTCCGGAAGACCTTCAGTCCGTCCTTGTAACGGCTGTGAGGGTCTATAGCAGGATGGGACTGTCTATCAACACCACCAAGACAGAGGTGGTCTGCCAATGGAGATCCAGCCCTCCACCCACCATGCCTGTCTTCACCATTAAACAAAATCACTGACAATAGTCCCCTCCTTCAAATACCTGGGCAGCATCCTCTCGGAGGACTGCAGCATCGACTTCAAAATTCAAAATAGGATCAAGCAAGCATCAGCTGCCTTCAGGAAACTCAGACACATGCATTCACATTTGATCAAAAGTATCAGTAATAATATTTCTCCACTCCTGTTCCTGAAACTAAATTAACATTTGTTTTATAATTGCACTGCAAGAAATGCATAATTCTGCAGGAGTTAATATTACATTACACTAAATGTGAGAGGTTATAGGCCTACAGTCCATATTTCAGTTACTATTCCATGTATCCCATATGAACTTAAATGAGGAATATTCGGTTTATTCATGGATACAGGGATACATACTCATGAGTGGAATATCAAAGGTGCATGTAAACAGCTTATCCCGAATAAGACCTTAAGCGGGATATGTAAACGTGCTCAATGTCATCTACATCAAAGTGAATCAGGTTGTCAATGCCCATGGAATGAATGTCACCTGTGTTTTGATAAAACATGTCAACACCACCACATAATTTGAATTAGATGTAATATATCTATAAGATGACTACAACACAGTCCACAGTAGTGTGAAAAAGTTGGGGGAAAGAGAAACATATAGCTACAGACAGGGGACTAAATCCCCTGTATCTAATTCAAATAATCTGTCAGACATATCTCATATCACAGTACTGACCTGCCTCTGCATCTCATAATACTGTAACATAGTTATAAAGCCAGGCCTTTGTCTCCCAGGAAAACTCTTCTCGAATCTCTCTGTGTGTTTGTGTGTGTGTCAGCCTACCACCCGCTGCAATGATCCAGTCGTGCAGTGACGTCAATCACAGACATCCACAGAGATCAATCTACGGACACATCAACTCCCAGGGGGGGGGGGGGGACTGGGCAGGGGGAATGGTGTGTGTGTATGTGTCACAATGTGTGTGTCACAGAGTGTGGGTGTGGGGAGGAGTGGGAGTCCTTGTTCATTCCTCGCAATTAACGCCCCATGAATCTAGGATGCAAGAACTACAAGTGTAGCCCAACCTCAGTCCCATCTAACAGACAGAAGTTCATCTCCATACTTCTCACCAATTCCTGGTGACACTCACCTCACAGTAAGGGCACGAGCCGCTTTAGAAGCACCATGGGTTGGAGAGTTACTGGCACTCCTCGTCAAGTCCTCCACCGATTTCTCTGGTGTGGAAGTCCCATTGTCCAAACTGTCCATGTCATAGCTGAGAGTCCAAAGAACCAGGAATTTGGACATGAATGGGAGAGTTGACCCAATATTATCAATGTGGAATATTAAAGTGACGTTAAATGTTAAATCTAAAGCCCTCGGATATGTTTCATTACTAAAGTGTCCCAAAAAGAAGAAGCAAAGACCCAGAACTACCAAAAAGACCCACATCAGGTTGAAGCCTCTATATCAAAACATTTTCCTCTCAGATTGTCCCATCCACATACAAGTGCCTTCAGAAAGTATTCATACCCCTTGACTTATTCGTCATTTTGTTGTGTTACAGCCTGAATTCAAAATTAATTAAATCTATTTGTTTGTCTCGCCCATCTACACACAATACCACAAAATGACAAAGTGACATTTTTGCACATTTATTGGAAATAAAATAAAGCAATATCTAAATTACATAAGTATTCACACCCCTGTGCTATGGCACTCCAAATTGAGCTCAGGTGCATCCAATGTCCTTTGATCCTCCTTGACATGTCACTACAGTTTAAATGGGGTCCACCTGTGGCTAATTAAATTGTTTGGACATGATTTAGAAAGAAACACACTTGTCTATATAAGGTCCCATAGTTGACAGTTCATGTCAGAGCAGAAACTATACCATGATGTCCAAGGAACTGTCCGTAGATCTCAGAGATTGTGATGAGGCATACAGTGAGGGAAAAAAGTATTTGATCCCCTGCTGATTTTGTACGTTTGCCCACTGACAAAGACAAGATCAGTCTATAATTTTAATGGTAGGTTTATTTGAACAGTGAGAGACAGAATAACAACAACAAAATCCAGAAAAACGCATGTCAAAAGTGTTGGTATTGTAAGTCGCTCTGGATAAGAGCGTCTGCTAAATGACTTAAATGTAAATGTAAATGTTATAAATTGATTTCCATTTTAATGAGGGAAATAAGTATTTTACCCTCTGCAAATCATGACTTAGTACTTGGTGGCAAAACCCTTGATGGAAATCACAGAGGTCAGACAGTTCTTGTAGTTGGCCACCAGGTTTGCACACATCTCAGGAGGTATTTTGTCCCACTCCTCTTTGCAGATCTTCTCCAAGTCATTAAGGTTTCGAGCCTGACATTTGGCAACTCGAACCTTCAGCTCCCTCCACAGATGTTCTATGGGATTAAGGTCTGGAGACTGGCTAGGCCACTCCAGGACCTTAATGTGCTTCTTCTTGAGCCACTCCTTTGTTGCCTTGGCTGTGTGTTTTGGGTCATTGTCATGCTGGAATACCCATTCACAACCAATTTTCAATGCCCTGGCTGAGGGAAGGAGGTTCTCACCCAAGATTTTACGGTACATGGTCCCGTCCATCGTCCCTTTGATGCGGTGAAGTTGTCCTGTCCCCTTAGCAGAAAAACACCACCAAAGCATAATGTTTCCACCTCCATGTTTGACGGTGGGGATGGTGTTCTTGGGGTCATCATAGGCATCATTCCTCCTCCTCCAAACACAGCGAGTTGAGTTGATGCCAAAGAGCTCCATTTTGGTCTCATCTGACCACAACACATCACCCAGTTCTCCTCTGAATCATTCAGATGTTCATTGGCAAACTTCAGACGGGCCTGTATATGTGCTTTTTTGAGCAGGGGGACCTTGCGGGCGCTGCAGGATTTCAGTCCTTCACGGCGTAGTGTGTTACCAATTGTTTTCTTGGTGACTATGGTCCCAGCTGCCTTGAGATCATTGACAAGATCCTCCCGTGTAGTTCTGGGCTGATTCCTCACCGTTCTCATGATCATTGCAACTCCACGAGGTGAGATCTTGCATGGAGCCCCAGGCCGAGGGAGATTGACAGTTATTTTGTGTTTCTTCCATTTGCGAATAATCGCACCAACTGTTGTCACCTTCTCACCAAGCTGCTTGGCGATGGTCTTGTAGCCCATTCCAGCCTTGTGTAGGTCTACAATCTTGTCCCTGACATCCTTGGAGAGCTCTTTGGTCTTGGCCATGGTGGAGAGTTTGGAATCTGATTGATTGATTGCTTCTGTAGACAGGTGTCTTTTATACAGGTAACAAGCTGAGATTAGGAGCATTCCCTTTAAAAGTGTGCTCCTAATCTCAGCTCGTTACCTGTATAAAAGACACCTGGGAGCCAGAAATCTTTCTGATTGAGAGGGGGTCAAATACTTATTTCCCTAATTAAAATGCAAATCAATTTATAACATTTTTGACATGAGTTTTTCTGAATTTTGTTGTTGTTATTCTGTCTCTCACTGTTCAAATAAACCTACCATAAAAATTATAGACTGATCATTTCTTTGTCAGTGGGCAAACGTACAAAATCAGCAGGGGATCAAACACTTTTTTCCCTCACTGTATATCTGGGGAAGGGTATAAAACAATTTCTAGAGTGTTGAAAGTTTCCAAGAGCACAGTGGTCTCCATCATTGGGAAATGTAAAAAATATGGAACTACACAGACTCTGCTTAGAGCTGGCCGTCCGACCAAACTGAGCAACCGGGCAAGAAGGACCTTGCTCAGGGAGGTGACCAAGAACCAAATGACCACTCTGACAGAACTACAGAGTTCCTTGGCTGAGATGGGAGAACCTGCCAGAAGGAAAACAGTCTCTACAGCACTTCCCCAATCTAGGCAGTTCACCACCTTTCAAACACCATCCATACCATGAAGCATGGTGGTGGCAGCATCATGCTATGGGGATGCTTTTCAGCGGCAGGGACTGGGAGACTGATAAGGATAGAGGGAACAATGAATGGAGCCAAATACAGGCAAATCCTTGATGAGAACCTGCTTCAGAGTGCAAAGGACCTTAGACTGGGGTAAAGATTTCCGTTCCAATAGGACAATGACCCCAAGCATACAGCCAAAGCAATGCAGGAATGGCTTCAGAACATGAATGTGAAAGTCCTTGAGTGGCCCAGCCAAAGCCCAGACTTTAATCCCATTGACAATCTGTGGAAAGACTTGAAAATTGCTGTTCACAGCTACTCCCCATCTAACTTAACAGAGCTATAGGAAATCTGCCAGGAAGTATGGGAGAAATTCCCCAAATCCATATGTGCAAAGCTGATACAGACATACCCAAGACGAGTCAAAGCTGTAGTCGCCGCCAGGGGATGGCTGCTGTTTTACGGGCTCCTAACCAATTGTGCTATTGTGTGTGTTTTTTCGAGCTGTTTGTAACTTTTTTGTACATAATGTTTCTGCCACTGTCTCTTATGACAGAAAAGAGCTTCTGGATTATCAGAACAGCGATTACTCACCTCGGACTGGACGAAGATTTTTTCTTTAACGAATAGGAGGCAAACGATTTATGGCTCTTCCTGGACCAGGCCCAACTCCCCGTCATTCGCATGAAGAAGAGACGCAGATAAATGCACCGCAAATCCGGGTGCTTGGTGAGAATTCGTTGGTGAGTGGATAATCCGCCTTTACCATCCGTTCTACTGGCGAACGTGCAATCACTGGAGAATAAACTGGATGAGCTCCATTCGAGACTATCCTACCAACAGGACATTAAAAACTGTAATATCTTATGTTTCACCGAGTCGTGGCTGAACGAAGACATAGATAATATACAGTTGGCTTGGATTTCCGTGCACAAACCGTAGCTGTCTATTTACCACCACAAACCGATGCAGGCACTAAGACCGCACTCAACGAGCTGTATAAGGCCATAAGCAAACAAGAGTATGATCACCCAGAAGCGGCGCTGGGGACTTTAATGCAGGAAAACTTAAATCCGTTTTACCTCATTTCTACCAGCATGTCACATTTACTCCACACACAGAGAAACGTACAAAGCTCTCCCTCGTCCTCCATTTGGCAAATATGACCATAATTCTATCCTCATGATTCCGGGTTACAAGCAAAAACTCAAGCAGGAAGTACCAGTGACTTGCTTAATACAGAAATAGTCAGATGACGCAGATGCTAAGCTACAGGACTGTTTTGCTAGCACAGACTGGAATATGTTCCGGGATTCATCCGATGGCATTGAGGAGTATACCACATCAGTCACCGGCTTCACCAATAAGTGCATCGACGACGTCGACCCACAGCGACCGTACGTTCATATCCCAACCACAAGCCATGGATTACAGGCAACATCTGCACTGAGCTAAACGCTAGAGCTGCCGGTTTCAAGGAGCGGGACACTATATCCTCCGACGAACCATCAAACATGCAAAGCATCAATACAGGACTAAGACCGAATCCTACTACACCAGTAACCTGCCTAAATGACTACCGCCCCGTAGCACTCACGTCTGTAGCCATGAAGTTCGTTGAAAGGCTAGTCATGGCTCATGTCAACACCATCATCCCAGAAACCCTAGACCCACTACAATTCGCATACCGCCCCAACAGATCCACAGAAGACGCAATCTCTATTGCACTCCACACTGCCCTTTCCTACCTGGACAAAAGGAACACCTACGTGAGAATGCTGTCCGTTGACTACAGCTCAGCGTTCGACACCATAGTGCCCGCAAAGCTCATCACTAAGCTAAGGACACTGGGACTAAACACAGTCCTCTGCAACTGGATCCTGGACTTCCTGATGGGCCACCCCCAGGTGGTAATGGTAGGCAACAACACATCTGACAAGCTGATCCTCACCACGGGGGCCTCTCAGGGGTGCGTACTTAATCCTCTCCTGTACTCCCTGTTCACCCGGTGTGGCCCGGACGACTCCAACACCATCATTACGTTTGCTGACGACCCAATGGTGGTAGGCCTGATCAGCGACAACGATGAGACAGCCTATAGGGAAGAGGTCAGAGACCTGGCAGTGTGGTGCCAGGACAACAACCTCTCCATCAACGTGAGCAAGACAAAGGAGCTGATTGTGGACTAAAGGAAAAGGAGGGCCGAGCACACCCCCATTCACATCGACGGAGCTGTAGTGGAGCGGGTGGAGAGCTTCAAGTTCCTTGGTGTCCACATCACTAACAAACTATCATGCTCCAAACACACCAAGACAGTCGTGTAGAGGGCACAACAATGTCTATTCCCCCTCAGGAGACTGAAAAGATTTAGCATGGGTC